TGCTTGGATTAACTTCAAGCTGGATAGCTCTGGATCATTTCGAATCATATCAAGGGCACGCATCTGATCCTGAAATATTTAATTAACGATGAGTAAGGGGAAGAGTAAGTTGGAAAGAAAGATGAAGATACTGATGTCCCATCTTTCAGTTAATATATTCTACCGTTCAACATGTTATAAAACTCGATCACCATTTGTCATAATATTATTGAGGGCTTAAAACCTCTATGAGAGCAACAGATTAATACCTTTCTTTTCACTGCACAAAACTTGCAGTCAGAGGCAGATGGAGGAAGAATCTGATTAACAATAAGTCGCCTGACAGGAACATTTTCCTTCTCCAAGGAGGCACGTAGTCTAGATGACTCATTAACTGCCATCACCTAGGGTAAGGACGTAAAATATGAGCGATTAGTTAGAAGCAATAAACATTTACTTGGTAGTCCTATCTTCACAACTTATATGTAACGGAAGGAAAAATCCATGTAAGCAATGCTAAACAGTTCAATACTGAAGTTGAGCACTGAAATACAATTCTAAGGGTCACTACCGTGGGAATTGTCACTATGACAAACTCTGTTGAATCTGAGTCACGGAAAAGGTCTCTCACTTTTACCATCCTCTCCCTCAGACGCTCCAACTTGTCAGCCTGCACAATAATACAAGAATAAAAAGTATTAAAAAATAAAATAATTTTAAAAATAATAAACAAGATGCCAACTCTCAACTATATCAGACTTACAGCATTTTGACGGGTTACTTCTTGCCCAAAAACAGATTTGATGGCTGAGGTGGCTGAAGCTATCTTCTGTCTAAGCTGTATAATGAGACAAAAGTGAAAGAAAAGAAATCAGTAGCAAAAAGACACTTCCTCCAGCACCACATAAGTAAAAATAATATCAAATTGATACAGAGTAAGTTCTAGATTCTTAAAAATGCACAATTTGGTGAGCTACTAACTTAACTTACAAAGCATCAGTATGTAAAACCATGTTAGACAAGGAGAAAATTTTGCTTATATTGTCAACCAACTCAACCTCATCATTCTTGAGGAATTGAAAGCTTTATATGTAAAATTTGTCAGACAAATAATCTGTATGTTAAGTCATGGCCACATGAAACATCATCTGACCATCCAAATTGAAAAGCATGTCTAATAAAATAACATTTAAGCAACATAATATGATAACCTCATCTTTTACGATTCAGATTTGTAATTTTTTTAAATTCTGCCTCGTTCTTAACATCATAATCAGCTTGTTACAGAGATGTCACTTGTCTATCATTTTTCCTTACTGGCTTTAATATTTAATTCACGCATTGAGTGATTTCCAGTAATATAACCATCAAATAAGTATGGTATACTAGAAAATATTGTTTAAATCTTTTGTCACTTAATAATTCATCCTCACAACATGATGACCATATGAGTTAAAAGAAAGCGCAGGACAATTGAATCAGAAAGAGAGAGCACATCATCTACAGGCTTTAATTATTCAAGTTGGCACGCCAACCTTCAATATCTTGCCTATTGATGCATCCAAGAAATCTGGCAATGACAAAAGTCGCAGTGTGTGTCCCTGGAAAAAAGCCTCCCATCAAATAGAGTTCACTGGGTTGATTTCAAATATGAAGTGCCATAACATAGAAAGAAGAAATTCTCACTCACCGTTGGTGCAGTGTCAAACACTATTCGAGTAAACATGCTATATTGTGGAGATTCAAGAAATTGCATCACCTAGCAAGAGCTTTCTGTAGTCAATATGATGCCCAAAAATGTAATAAAACGAGGAAAATAAACGGAGCACATAATGCTTACCTTTGAAATTGCGATAGCTTCATCTAAACCAGGAGGTGGCGTGTCAAGTAGTTCCCCCAGTTTCAGCTCTCCTAACTTCATAAGTCAAAAGAAGCATCAGAAGCAGAAATCATGATTTTAGAAATTAGGAAATTTCGAATGAATAAAAGAGACAGGATGGGGGAAATGAGGGTATGAGAGAAAGAGAGAAGATTGGCATCCAGATACAATGACAAAATTCACATATGGCAAAATTGAGAGAATGAGAGAGGATTGGCATCCAGATACAATAACAAAATTCACACGGCAAAAATTTTCTCATCTCTCCAGGGCTTAGCATCTTAAGTTTGCCATGTTGCTGTGGTTTTGAGTGTTTGCACATGCATGAGCACATGAGTGTGCACACATGCAGGTTTGCATGCTTTTTTGCATATTTGCCAAATCACTAAAGTCCTCACTGAAGGAAAGATTGAGAGGGGCATGAAACACACAATGCATGCAGCTCCAACAAAATAAAAGGTATGGGGTCATTTGGAAGAAACTTTACTTAATACAAAGATTAATGGCCAAAATGCAGTCAGTGAGGCCATCCAAGACATAACATAGTGCAAATTTGATCAAAAAGCTATTTGGTATCTGAAGTTGCAATGCTCAGACGTATATATAAAGCTTCACCTGTTCTGCAAGCATCCCAAGGCCCATGCCATCCATGAAATCTTTGACCCCGGTTCCACCATTGTTCTTAGTTGCATCTCGAAATTCTTCCCTAGCCTTCTCTGGGTTTATCTGTTTTAGAGCTATAAATTTAACTTACTGAGATACAGGGCAACAATACCATAAAAACAATAACTAGCAGATAGTTATTTCTTACATAATGTATGATGTCCAGGACTACATGAGACAAACAGATAAGAATCATCAAAAGAAAAATTAAGGAGAACTTAGTAAGAAAATTTATTCCACATACCTCAAGAGCAAACAAGGTAAAGTCAGGTCCTTCAACTGGTACTAGTGTTCCTCCAGTCAAATCCTAGATGAAAAATGAACATATAGACTGAGCCCATATGAAGATAAATGCAGGAAGAACAACATTAGAAAACAAAACTATAGAATGGATTTAAACCTGATCAAAAGAATCACTCAAGGAATGTGCTGGATCAGTTGAAACCACCAAAGTGTGGTGTCCATTATTTGCAAATTTAACTGCCAGTGAAGCAGCACAACTTGTCTTTCCTACACCCCCCTTGCCACCTAGCATATAATACTTACGTTGGGTCCCAGAAACCATGTCTTCAAACCCTGCAACATCTTCTGCAGGAGCAGCCACAGATCTTACTGCCACACAAACATACAGATTAAAAATTCAGCTCCAATATGCTAGGATTTTATCCAAGGAAAATACACAAATGGAATGAAATACCCTTTCCCCATTGAACACAATTTTCTAAAATACTAAGCACCATGGCATAACACAAATTTCAATTATCACAATCATTCTGCTACGTTAAAGTGACGAAAAGAAAAGCTTAATGAATTCCGGGTTCATTCACTAGAGTGATTCCAAAAAGACACAACTTCTACTTTATCCTGTAATATCTCTCTGAGTACAGCATTGGTTCTCAAACAAGCAGAAAAGAAACAAAATCTTATCACCATTTTCCCATTTCCAGAAACCTCCTCATTTCAACCACGAAAATATCATTTCAAATACTTTCTTCCCCCCTGCTTTCATCTTTATAACAGTGAAATCTCATTCTTGCTCCAGTATGCTTTGCTTTGGTCTGAGGAAAATGGCACAATGGCATAAACTACTACACCCCTGTTGAACACTATTCACTAAAACACTAAGCATTTGTCATGAAATAAACTTCAATTATCACATCTTATTGCCTCCTAAAAAATTGCAAAAAAGAAAAGCCTATTAAATATGGAATTTCCTTCCTAAAATTATTCCAGCATGAATCAATTTTCACTTTCTATCGCCATTGCTCATTGACTACAACTTTTGGCCTCAAACAAGCTGGAAAAAAAAAAGAAAGACCAATTCCTATTATCATCTTCAATTTCCAGTAACTTTCTCATTTCATCCATTAAAAATATCATTTAATATTCTCAATCTTCATCCCCTTCCTCTCTATAGTTATCTTTTCTTTCCTTTTCTTTTTTTCTTAACACACTTTTCACTTTCATTGCTACTTGCACTCCAACAAATTATAAAGTTTACATCTAAATAACAATTACACTACTTCAGAATTAAACTACACAATGGAGCATCAACTATAACAAGCACAAAAAATGATACAATTCTCATTTTGAAGTTAGATTCTACAAGAGAGTAAAATTTTATTTTAAAAAAACAAGCAAATAGTAAGAAAAAATAAACTTTTCATTTCTATTTTAACAAAGTTGACTCTTATTTTCGCTTGCATCTTCAACAATTTATAAATTTAAACCACTTAACAATCTCACTACTTCTAAAGTAAAGCTACCCAATTAAACATCCATTACAATGAGCACAAAAAATGAATCAATTCATAAAAAAACTTCAAAAAGAAAACACATTGAGAATATCAATTCTTGTCCTAACAAATAACAAAAAGAAAGTATAACCCAAGAAAGATACAATCTTGAAAGGAAGTAGAAAGTATAAAGGAATCACCTTGAAAAGAGTTGTTGGGTCGTTTTCGTCTGATGGCAAGGGAAGGAAAAGTTGAAGATAGAGTGTGAACTCTCGGTGAAAAGGAAAGCAAAAAACCAACTGCTACTATGGGTTTTCTTGGAGTCAAAAATTTATGAAAAGAAGAAGAAAATGAAGTAAAAGAAGCATGACAAGCTGCAGCTTTTGCCATTTTTTTTCCTCGGCTTTCTCTTTCGTCTAGCTGTTCTTATAAGGTAATGAGCAGAGGTTTTTTGTTTTGACACAGAGAAAACTTGGATAGAACTATAATCAACACGTGACCCATTTCACGTACACGTTTACCCACACCCTTTTTCGGGTTTGAATAAATTGAATTGGAATATGGAAATTTAAATCTTAAAAAAATAGTAATAATTAACAGTGAAATAAATTCATTCATTTTGTTTACTCTGAATGCTAAAAAAATTTTCATTTTATTTCGTTTCTTTTTATCTCCTTTTGTCTTCCATTTTCATTTCTTTTTTTTTGTTTTTAATCCATTTCTTTATAAAAAAAACCTTCCTTTCAAATTAATGGTAATTACTTTATTTTAACTAAAAATAATATAATACATTCATCTTAAAGCTAATATATAATTGAATTAAAGATAAGTTTAATAAATTTAATATGTCATTGAATTAGAATATAAATTAATTAATTTTTATTTACATAGTAATTAAAGGTGATTTTTAAACTAATTAAATCTCATGATTTTATAGTAAAAAAATTGTATAGGAGAAAACAAGAGAAGAGAAATAAACAATTAATAGAGGGTATTCTTTTATTTAAATTAATAGTAAGTGTACTTTCAACCAAATTTAAAGGTGTTTTTGTATATTTCCCTATGATTATTTAGTCATCATTTTCTTTATCCTTATTAGCATCCTACCATCTCCATAATCCATAATTAAGCATAAACTTATAATCCTGTTGGAGGCCAAAGCATTTCATTCTGTTGAAAACATTTTCCCTTAATTAGATAGACAATCTATGCTGCTGAACAACTTCTCCATTGGAGAATGATGGGGAAGAACACATAGGTTTTGCCTATAAATTTTAGTTTTATCTAAAACATAGTATTTGGGAGGAGATTAACATTAAGAAAAACTTCAAAAAGTTCACATCAAGAACTCTCATCGCAAATACATATCATGTTTACCCTTTCAGGGCGCCCTTTCCAGCTAAATCTTCAAGAGTTAGATTCAGGGAGTCAACTGAGCCTTTTTTAACTTCCTCGCCACGAGCAGCTAGGAAATCCTCGATGCTTCCTGGTTCACCAAACCACCCAAGATGATCTGCAATCAGATGTAAATTATTACACCCGCTACATCTTGCCACCACCACTCCTTTCTCATATGATTCGCGGCAAACTGTCTTAACTGATCTTGTTTCACAAACTCTGCATGTAAATATCATGGCAAGATCATGTCTTGAGGATGTTTTCAAGTTGGAAACAGCAGTATGCTTCACAGCGGAATGGTTTGCCTCGGAAGGAACATTAGCCAAGTCAGAAGCAGACTTTAAATGGTCAGCTTCATGGTTTTCTGTATCCTCATTAGACTGGCCATCTGGATTTGCTTGAATCTGGAGCCATCTTCTATAAAAGTTATGTCTACTGCCGAAGAATGCACTTGCAGGAGGTAGGACTTGTGAAGGGCGTTCTGCCGGCAAAAAGTTAACTTCCATTGTTAGAAAGGCAAACTGAATTCCATTAATATCTTCATGAAAGCATGTGTAACTATTATTACAAAGTTTTTTGTGATCAAATCACCAATCATTTCGCCAAATTTCTTAATTTAGTTATTTCTTAGAATTCCAATCACTTGGAGTTTTAATTAACTAAGGCCTTTTTTAGAACCAATATGCCAAACTTGCTTGGCATATCGAATCACAAAACAAAGCAAAGACCTAACATCTCAGCACTGTCAGTAAGTAGCACCGGTGTCAACAGCAGTAGTACAATTCTATCCATTCGAGTCTAGGTCTATTGCAGAAGTCATTAAACACGCAATGAACATCCCCATCACCCCTTTGTTAGCCACTATTTTATAATAAACTCATTTCCCCTGTTGGTTTGCATTGGTCAAACGAAACTTAAGAAAAGCCAACCCTTCAATTTAACCAGAAAAATATCCCTCTGATGTAAACATTAGTCCATTTCACTAAAATAACTACTAAATCTCAAAACAAAGTCCACAAGCACCACAATAAATCCAACATAGAAGACTTAGACCTTGAGATCCCCCATTGTTTCACAAAATGCCAGCTATCGCCTAAGTACTGAACTCTTGATTTAAGCATGGAAGTCCCTGGCAAAACTTGAAAGACCAATTTGCAATTTCACATTTGTTGTAAATTTCAATTTTTCATAAGCTTAACTTTTATACATTAGAATTATGCCCAAATTCATAATTTCACAGCATTAAACTACTCAAACCTTCAATTTCTCCACCCAGCTATCTTATCACACTACAAGACATGATGCCCACAGCTAATACACTAAACAATTACAAAAGAATGTTAGTAATATATTCTTCCCTCTCCTTAGAATACAACAAATTTTCACAAGCATTCACTTTCCATTGAAAATATCATATAGCAAAAATAAAACTTCTAGCTGCTCTCATCATACAGTAATAAAAACACAGAACCAAGATAAATCCAAAGCACAAAAAAAGTACAAGATTTTCAAACATGCTGAAAAATGAAAGATAGCAAAAACCCAACAATTATTTCTTCGAAAAACAAAAACCCAATCTTTCTATCGATTGAAAAAGCTCAAACAAAGCCGAAGAAACCCCACTTTTGTAAAGTTCCACAGCTCCCATATCACAGCTTCAGCTCATATAAAGAAAACCCAAATAATAGAAAACAAAGGTAGAGGGAGGAAAGAGAAGAAAACGAACTTACCTTTGAAAAGAGAGGTTTGAGGCAGATTACGAGCTAGAAGTGAGAGAACTCGCCGAAACTGAGACATCTTCGGCCGACATGAAGTGAACCGGTTTGAGGGGCTGAGTTAGGATTCGGGATATATAGGTAATTCCCTTTTATCTTTTATTTTATATATTTATACTTAGGTAAAACACCTTTACATTTTAAATTTTAATTAAAATTATAGGAAAAGTCTATTAATTTTCAAAATATACACTTTATTTTAAAAAAAATTAAATCCAACTGTTAACTAATAGTGTTTCGTCAATTTAATGACATAATAAAAATAAAAAAATAATTTTACTTTTAATTAATTTTTAACTTATTATTATATAATTTTATTAAATTTTTTATTAATTAAAAAAAATTCCCAACTGAAGAGCTCCCTTGAGAGCACCAATGCTCCCTCTCTGGTAGCTGAGAAGCACCGATCAGTACTATTTATTTTTTTATTTTTTAAAAAAATTATAATAATGGTTTTTTAAATTAATAAAAAAGAGAGTGTTTTAGTTTTTTTATAATTATGTTAACGGTGTTTGCATCTTTAAAATGAAATATTTATTGTAAAAATTAATAAATTAATTTAAAATTTTAATTAAAACTTAAACATATAGAAGTCTTCTACCCATATAATTATTTTCTTTTCTAATTACTTGCTCTAAAAGATTTTGTTTTCTTTTTTGAATATAAAAGTCTTAAATTATGAAGTTGTCATATTTTAGAAGCAAATTCTTATTTTTTTTCTTGGTAAAGATTATAGTTCAAAGGTCTTATAAAGGAGAAAAAGACTTTGATTTTTTCATTTCTTATTAAATCTAAAATGTCAGCCAAAAAAAATAAAAATTTAAGATTTTTCTGCTATTTTAATTATTTTTTAATAATTAACTAATCATTAATTACATTTCAATATAAAACTATTGAAGATTATAATTAATCTTATAATTTCATGGATTTTGCATGGAAATGTTATTTTATTCTTATTTTCATTTAAGTATTTAGTAAAAGTTAGAAGAGAGTATAAAAAATGTTTAATTCATATATTTTTTTCAATATATAAAATTTTAGTAAATAAATTGTTTAATATTTTGAGTTCGGATAAGATGCGTCATACTCGTAAAAGTCATGCATTCAAGATTAACGCAAACAAGGGCTACTTGATTGATAATATTCTAATTCAATACAACTTAAATCGAGACAAACACACCAATTAAATCAAGTCGATTTAATCACACACACATATATATATATATGTATATATATTGACAATATAATCAAATAGTAAAATGGAAATTGCAAACAATGTTCCCCTAAATACATGCATTTGAGTTCTAAATATTAGCACTTGATAGTTTTTTTTTATTAAGATATTCTATTTAATAATTTATTAACAAGAGTATAAAGCATGTTGAAAGAAAAAATCATTAAAAAATTGAACTTAACTTTCAATTGATTACTGCTAAAATTAAATAATAAAGTTGACACTCTTACAAAATTATAATCATTAGCGTATAATAAAGAAAGATTAGTAAAATATTAAGGGTAGCAGTCAAATGATGAAGTGAAAGGCAAACATGACCAAGTAGTAAAACCTGAAATTAGAAACAAAATTCCATCATTTCTCAATTAAAAAAGGAAAATCTTAAGTATCTTATAGCCATTGAGCCTCAAGTTGATAAAGAAACAGAGCCTTGTGCTGCATTTGGTTATGGAAATGACAGCTTTAGATTCAAAATAGTTGTTGGGGAAGTGCTGAATCTTCCCTTTGAAGTGGATTAAGAACAAATACTACATGTTAAATCAGTCTTTAACCTATGTTCCAGCCACCAACCTTAAACTTGTGTTAGTCTAAGTCAAAAGAAACTTAGTTATATCAAGTTTTCCCTTGAACATGACTTTGTAGACCAATGGCAAAACGTGTCCGTTTTGCTTGCTTCTTTTTTGTAGACGTGCCCAATCTTCTCACATGTCTGCAGCATTTTCTTAAAACTAATTGAAAGATTTTCTCAGATTTTCTTTTCATTTATCTTTTTCATGATGAAGTGCTGAACGCAGCCTGAGAAAATCCAATGCTTACTGTAGTAAAATGATGGATCCCTTTGATTTCAACATAGCACAAAGGTCAGGTCAACAAAATTTTCATATGGAGCTGGAATTGGTCACAGAATTCCATCCTTGCTGAATGATTCAGGAGACAAAATCTTGTACTACCAAGATAAGGATTCAAATTGAACAAGTGATTTGGATTCAAAGTGGCTTTAAGGTCTTGGCCTGGGGTTTCTGTGCAATTGTCATTTCAACATTTTTAAGTAGAGAAGCACAGAAATAATACATGCAGAGAAGATAGATGGTAATGACAATAGCAGATGTCCCAATGAAGCATTACATTGAAGTCTTTGGAATCTCCACCTTCTATTGATCTTAGCCATTAAAATAAAGCAAAAAGAAATAAAGAATAGAGCAGTTAACCGTCTCGCCAATCAATCAAAGCAGCTCAACTAATTGTGTAGAGAGTTGGGAAGTGAAAAAACCAACTTTGATCACTACAAAATGCTATGTACCTTCCAATTCCATTTCATTCTTTTTCCATGTTCTCACTGGTGACTGGACAGTTGAGAATAGATTGAACTAGCTGTTTAGAATGTAAAAATTCTTCTTTAAAATTAATTCAGATGTCTTTGTTTAAACTTCTAAGAAAGAATTTTTCTGACTTAGGTTCTTGACCCTTACAGTGTAAAACACAGGTTGCTCTCACATCACGTGTAAGGCATAAATGGTGGGAACCAGACAACAGCATTTTCACCAAAAGTCACGTCTGAAAGTTCTTATTGCAAACTGGGGTAATGGAAAACTCTCGAGTAGACTAATGACAACATTGACATTGGCATGTTCCATTAATTCCTAGGTCTACACTTGAATACCTCCATCCATCCATTAACTTCAGCACAGAGTGAGTCTTGAGGATAACATATCATTGCAGAAAACTTATGTTGAGAAGATCCTAACTACAAAGAGTTTTGGATCAAAGATTCAAAAACAATAGCAACATATCAACTCCAAAAAACTGTCTGAAGCAGTCAATAAACTAGTACCATTTTTCAGTAACAGACAGCACTAATTGAAGCAGAAAATCTTGTTTCCATAACAATTATTAAGAATGAACGTAGTTTAACAAAATCCTATACCAAAATCTCTCCCACAAAATGAACTTAAGTCTAAAAAACTCCTCTCTGTATATATTCACAACAGGTACAAATATGTACAGGTACCTCTAGTTGTTAAGAAGAATCATGAATTTGTAAAGCTAAAAGAACAAAACAAATAACTCTACTAACTCTCATTACTGATCAAATTGACAACCCCAAAGAATTTGCTCACACAAAAAAAAAAAGCCGCAATCAATTTGTATAATTACCTTGGAGCCATTGAGATTGAGATATCAGTAGGCAAAACAATCTTGTCAGCCCAGTTCTTAGACTCCAAATACGACTTTGAAACCTGCCCTGCAACCTTATTCATATCAGGCCTTTTACCTGGATCTTCCTCCACACATTCCAATGCCAACAACACCATCTTCTCTGCCACATCCACTGGAAAGGAGTCCTTAAACCTCCTATCCACCCATCTCCTCACCCCTGCACTCCCTCCGGCCGCCGCCTCCCTAGCAGTATCTATAACGCTCACTCTCTTATACCCTCCATTTCCTTCATCAACCGAAAACTTTAAGGCTTCCTGTCCACTCAAAAGCTCCAAAACCACGACCCCAAATGCATAAACATCACATTTCTGTGTTACCAAACCACTAGACTGAAGCTCAGGTGCCATGTATCCTCTCGTTCCTTCAATCTTCATAACTTTACTGTTTGATCTCTTAAGACTTTTTGACCGCTCCTCTTTTGCCACTTCCCCACATAGCTCAGCAGTGCCAAATTGACAAATTTTGGCTCTTAAAGAATCTTCAGCTACTAAAATACTTGAGATCTTTATATGGTTATGAGTGAAGCTAGTTTCAAGACCTGAACAATGGTGAATATAATCCAAGCCATGAGCAATATCATCAGCAATTTGCATACGAGAAATCCAAGTAGAAAGAATAGTAAAACTTGGGTTCTTGGCGTTTCTTAAACAATCTCCAAGGTTAGCTCCTTGTACGTATTCATAAACAAGATAAATATAATTCCCTGAGAGAGAAACACCCAAAAGCTTGATTAAACTACTATGATGACTCCTACAAATGACTGATAAGTTGTGAACCAAGTCATCTAACTCAATAGCACGTCTCAATTTTCTTTGGAAAATGACAACTTGTTTGCCTTGAAGATTACAGAGCCATGACGATGATGAAGAGGAAGAAGAAAAACGTTTGGCAAGGAAGTTGTCTGTGGCCGAGCAAATGTCTGAGAAGTTATAGATGTGGGGGTTTTCAGGGAGAAAGGCTTTAAAAGTAGAGAGAGTTCCGGAGATTTGGCTTGAGCTCGAGTAGCTGGAAGAGTTGTTTAAGAAGTAGCTTGAAGAAAGAACCAAATTGTTGGCTGCGGAAGTGCTGCTGGATGGGTCTGATAAAGAAGAGACGGATTTTGGGGTTTTGGGTGTTTGAGATGAGGATGAAAAAGATGGTCTTTTGGAAGATCTCGGTTGGATTACCTCTGTGCTTTTCTTTGATCTACACATTAGGAAGAGAAAAAGAAAGGGAAAACAACGAAAATTTTTCTTGTTTTCAAGGGAAATTTTGTTTCTTTACAAGGATTCTTTGGTGGGGATTGGTGGCTTGTGGTGGTGGGGGCGGTGGTTCGGAGACAAAAAGGGAAAATCTTTAATGGGAAATAAAGAAAATGAACAGACTTTCTGTTCAGTTTTTGATTCGGAACTCTTTGTTGGCTTGCAGTGTTGTCTTTGTCGATGAGGCACACGCTGGTTTTCCTGCTCCTGAAGTTAATATAGTCTTTTCAGCAGACACGTGTGGGTTACGCTGCAGAACCATCCAAAACTTCAATTCATTCTCCCATTCTTATCTTTATGAAAAAATGTTTTTTATCTTTTTTAAGTTTCATTTTATTGTTAATTTCATAACTCATTTCCCATTTCCTTTCCATGAAAATGGTTTTGTCAACACTTTGAAGCTGTATTAGAATGAAAGATTCAGCTGCCCAATCTGTTGTCATGCATTGCTGCTATCCCACGCCGCCACCAGAAAAAGATCAAGTGTTTGACAAAATCATTATTATGAAAAAGATTAAGACAATAAACTTTAATTTAAAAATAATATATGCTTCTTGAAGCTGCTTTATTTGAGAATCATTTTCATCCTTCTAACAATAACCAATTTCTTATGGATATTCAACTCATTATTATTCCATGCAAAAGCAGGATACCTTTCTGATTTCAGGATCCAATCCCCTTTGCTCTTTGTTTATGGAACTGCCTTCATCCATGGTGAAGTTTTATATGGTCAAGTCTTTGAAGATGATAGTGAATTACTCATGCATATAACATTTTTTTTATTCCTAATTTAATCACATCATTAATTATTTAAGTGAGGTGTGTTGAGCTATAATATATTAATTTCAGGGGTTAAAAATATTGACATTAATTTGATTTTTGTTAAATTATATAAAATCTACTTTCGACATTATATATTTTATTTCCCAAAATGTAATATTATAAAAATTTTGATTATATTAATATTAACGTGTATTAAAATTCATAATAGAATACAAAAGTTAAGAAAAAGAAGTAGCAAAGTAGTTTTTTTACAAACTCTAGATGATAAAAGATGTCTGAATTTGAATGATGGGCCATTTATCTGGCTGTTTGAGACTTTTTGTACCCTCTATTCATAGTTGCATATGGATACCATCCTTGGTAGCTTAGTTAGCCTGCCTACAAAACTGTATACCTGGTTCTACACAATTAAAAACCAGACTTAACTAGGAAAAAACTTGCTAATAAGTTGGCTACTTCCAACCAGGCATGATCCAATGGCTGCTGCTATTGTTGTGAATTTCCTCATTACAGCTACTTGCTTCTATAGTCATAGAAATTGTGTCCATTCTCAGTTCTAGAGTCATGCTTGCGGGGCTTTCAAGAGCCAATCTACTATTTTTTCTCTGGCAATCTTTGCCTAGCACCGGTAAACCAGAATACTGTTTACAAGTATCACTAGGCTCATGAAAGACGTAAACAGCATGAAAACCAAGTTGCTGAAGAGAATAAATATACCATGACAAGGAACATTGTTACCTGCAAAATGTATAGTTTCAGCTTTCAACTAAATGCTAAATTGCTTACCACTAGGAAGGACAAGTTCAAATAGTAAAGAATACACAAACTCTTGACACTGCGCCATGTTGGAAATCCCATCTCAATTCTATACAAAAATGTTTGATGTTTTATTAACATGCAATCAATACGATTCCCCAACCACTACATTCTGAATATGAACTCTTTCCTAAACATGGCAATAGGACTGCAAATGAATTATCAAATAAGCCTAAGGAAACCCACTCCCTCATGTACAAATGAATATCAGAGATAGGTAGTATAACCTAAGTAATAAAGTTACACTGATCAATTCCTAGATATACAACATAAGCCATAGCACTATTTACGGACAGATTGAGATCATCACTCTCATGATTTTCCTGTTGCTGAGGTTTGATGGTGTTATGAGCCTTCAGAGCTGAAGCATTCCACTTCTCCAGATGGAATTAGAATGCCAAACAAATGCCAGGTTGGAAACTGATGTTCACTTCTTCTGAAAAGTAATCATACCAACAAATGCAATTAAACGGCTGACTACACCGGAAAGAATGAGGATGACTATACAAAGAGTCCATTCATGTAGACTATAACCACTTTTCAAAAGAGCACCGCAACGAGTAATTAACCACACTCCATAGTACCTGAAATGTAAACATGACTCGTTTGGTAAATGAGATTTTCATTCAAAAGAAAACCAACAAATCACAAGGAAACATTAAGGAAAAAAAAAAGGGAAACTAGCAGGAGGGGGAAAAGTACTATGATGGTGCTCTATTCAAAAGATGATTAACAATGTGCATCAGAAAAACCATAGTTTTCTAAGCTTCCATGATTACTTCCAAAAATTGTGGATGCCAACCCTATGCTCAAAGGAAAAATCGGTAAAAAATAAAAAATAAATAAAAAAGCCATGCTCAGAGGTTTCTTTGTTACATCCCAACCACGGATTCTGAATGAGCCTCTGCCTGATCTGGGAAATGACAAACTATTTCACATGTACACTAATACATACTAAAAGGCTCTTTCTAACCAGAATTTGGTGGCTGCAAAGGGATCAAAGGATACTAAATGATTTGATGGGAGGATACTGCACATTAGGTTTCTGTGGTCAGAAATCTAGTTAATTGCATCTCCCAAAAGTACTACAGTGGTGCTCTATTCAAAAGAACCTCTCTCAGAAACTTGGGAGACAACAGTGAATCAAGGCTTCGCAGCTTTGTCCACAACCTATGCAACTATTATTTTCTCCTCCTGAAAACTGCCAAAGTTTTGCCCCACAAAAACATTCCAGCTTGAGCATTTTGCCGTATAAAACTCTTCCAGCTTCAGCATTTTGGCCCAAAAACAGCTTACTAAAGCTAAGCCATCACAAAAATTCTGGGTCTCATATTTGACTTCTTGAAGTCTGGAGCCACCAATGACATAATTTTAAAGAGTATCACACTAATTGTTAAATATTTCTATGGCCCAGACTAGTAATAGAAGAATAACCACAAACAGTTTCAAATATTTTTACAGATTAAAGAAAAGCCTTTCTTTCAGCATCTTCGCAGGCATTGTGGTTCTTAGATATATAAACACTGCAAAGCCCACACCAGTGGTCTTAATTATTAGGATTCAGATTTCATTGCCCTTCCTGCCTACAAATGTTTGAGATAAATTTATCTAAGAGTTTCATAGATTTGATCAAATAATATACTCTGTTCAATTCAGTCTGAAAGATCTGACCCATAGATATCCCAAAATCATTTCTGCAGAGAACCTTCTCAATGAAGTGAAACCTTCCTTGTTCTAGAGTGAGTTGGCAAAACCTTTCAGTCAGCCTCTGGCATAGACAATTTATAAGACCTAAAGGAACAAACCTAATAGAAGGAGCAATAGATTTTCTGTTTTGCACTGTCGCTTAATCCATTGCCATACTTACGATAACCAGTCCAAGTTGCAGTTCAGGTTGACTTGGCTAATTCTGCTGTAATTTACTATGACTAGGGCATTGAGAATACATTATGTTTAGATTCGGTTAAGTAGCTATGAAAGGTTCCTAAAGTTTCTTGATCTGGAAGCTTCTCTTTGCCTATATTAATCCGATTAGATATTTTTAGATTATCATGACAACAAGATGGTGAATCTAAGGAGCAACATTTACATATTTATCTTTGATGTCTTGAATAGATAAAGGAGTGATTTGCCATACCTTTCAGCATTTGCTATCACAAAAGCTTCCAAAGCCCACTTTGGGTAGCACAAATTAGATATCTTTTTCAAAACTTCACCATCTTGTTTCTGAGTGGCGACAAGTGTCAAAACAACTGGAAGAAGAACCGACCACTACAAGAAACAGTAACGTCAACGAAAGGGAAAAGATATATAAAATAAGAAATTGGTTAAATGACATGTCGTTTCCACTCTCAGTACGTGCTAATCTTACTCACCAGCTGGGCTGGACCAGGTTGAAAGAAGATGGCCAATGCATAGGCTATACCAGTCACACAGTACACCAGGCACAGCAAGACAATATAATTTTCAGCGAATGAAGATCTTGGATTTGTGAAGAAAAAGAACATAGAGAGATAAACCACAGGCTTGATCACAGTATTAAAGTGGTCAATTGTGTCTTTGGCCAAAAAGTAAGCCAAGCTGCTCATGCCAGATGCACTCTCTCTCCAATATTGTAATTTATCCAGGGAAAATGATCTCAAAGCTGCTATTTTGCATAGAAGAGCTGAAAACATCAAGAACCATGGTGAGAAAGTTATTGATGTGGCAATTAGTTTACCATATGGATTCCACATCTTAACATTATTATTAATTGTTGCAAATGTATTTTAGCCTTGTGTATGCAATTTATGCTTCATTTTCAAATGAATATATGTTTTCTAAAAAAGAAAAAGACTTTGCTGGAGGCAATAGTAAAATGAAGTTCCTCCAGTACTTCTGCAATTTTCATGGAACAAATCAAAAGAGCAAATTTGAAGAAATCCTTCTAGCATAAGTAACAGTTGTCCAACTTACAGACTGCAATTATGGTATAAGTATAACCAACTGCCCCAAAGTCTTCGTCGCTTGTTTTAGCTAATGTTCCTAAGCAGGCTCCAGCAAGCAGTAAGATCAGATAATCTGTCGCTTGTATCTTAGCTTCCCTCATACGCTGCTTCCCAACCCTGAAATATTTATGGGAATTAAGCTGAAGATTTCTCAAATTAAAAAAAATAACATGAAGAAATTGAACTGTATTCACCACTGGATAGTTAACTCAAAAGATCATACAACATTTACCCCCTGGGGCAAATTTATCAAGTAAAAGCCACTAAAGACTCAGATTAATAGTTATAGGAAGGAAGGTTATGAATTTTTAGTTCACAATTTGACATAAATTGTCTTTAAAATTTTAAAACCCAAAGGCCATCACCTATTCAGAGCAATTATACGCAGAATCATTGGGATCTCAACAAACTCAAACAGACAAAAGCAAAGCTTTTGAGTCAAGCATGCCTAAAACTTTATTGTTGTGCTTTTCATATCTGTTTTGGCCCTGAAAAAGCTTATAATCAATGAATCAGACAAAAGCTATGGAATATGTGTTGTATAAATGAGGTTTTCATCATTGAATATTTTACCGAATTAATCATTATATAAAGTTTGAAGCTACACGCAATCTTGGCAAAAGTTAGATAGTCCTTACCTCCCAAGAAAGTATCTGTATTGCCAGAGTACACCTGGAGTTCTCCGGCATGATAAGTCCTTAAACTTTAAGAAATTGTGAAGTATGCTATCCCGCTGCAACTCCACATTACTCCTCACATCTTGCCATAACTCTCCAGCAAAAGATTTTTCCTCCATTCCAGCATGAACAGGATTTGTCCCATTTGCTGGGCCTACACCTGCTGAGGGCATAGCAAGCTGAGCAAAACTTTGCTGCAGATCAGGGGGTACTGGGTACCCGTTGTGAAGCATCCACCTGACAGGAAGCTCTTTGTAGTTGACACCTGAGCTTGCACTTGGTGTTACTATACCCTCTAAAATGTCAATAAAGTGGTCTGGAGGGTTAACACGTTCTGGGACATGGATCCCGAGGCCCGCAAAGTATTCTTCTGCTTTCTTTGCAGAACCATGGTAGACAGTAAGGCCGCCTTTTGCCAAAAGTACTAGATCATCAAACATTTGGAATAAAGCATAGCTGAACCAGAAATTTCAGCAATTATTAGACCAAAAAGACAGTAAATTTACATGCCTTAGAATCTAAATGAATTTTAGAAACTACTTTTCTAGCCAAGTTTATAACTCCACAGAATTAGTTAAAATGTTTATTATATGCAAGGATACAGCAGTATACAACTGAAGCAAATTCATAATGACCAGATTGAAAAATGTAAATTTCTGATAAAAAATTGTTACCTAGGTTGATGAAGCACCATGCAGATGTTTACTCCTTCAAGAGCTTCATGTCGAAGTGCTCTAAGAAGCAGCTGAGAGGATGCACTGTCCAAACCAGATGTGGGTTCATCCAAGATCAAAAGTGAAGGTTCCATGACCATTTCCAATCCAACATTTACACGCTTCCTCTGGCCTCCTGAGATACCTCGCTTCTCTACAGTTCCCACCAAGGAATCACGCACCATCTGAAGCCCCAAAGACTCAATAACTCTTTCAACAACAAGAACTTTATCCGGTTTTGATAAATGAGAAGGAAGCCTTTCACATGCAGGAGTTTATGACACAGCGAATACGAGTAGTCAATACAAAAGAACTGACAGGAAAAGAACCCAGAAGATCAAGACATATAATTTAAGTATGCACAGAAGAACATTGAGAGAGAGTATTTTCCAAACAAATGACTTCAGAATAATCATCCATTACTCTTAAGTGAACTTTGATGTTGCCATATATAAGAAACACCTTCAGCCATAACATGACAGGGAAAGACACAGGTCAAAAACTAGGGCTCTATTTTTGGGGGACACAGGTGATGGGGGCTGGCAGAGGGGGAGGAGGAGGACCCAACCAATTCAAATGCAAGTGAAATAGAGCGCTAATTGATTCCTTGATATTATATACATCCATGACGAATTGATTCAAATAGAAATAATAACTAAAGGTTTTTTTTATTATTTGTGAGAAGAACAAGCACAGAAATAGAATAGCTTAGGGAACCCACTCTTAAGTGATCTAGCATTCTAGATGTCTTCTGTGAAAGGAATGTCCAAGTTATAGTATTTATATGTGACATACAGAAAGAAGGCAATAGTGTGGTTTTAGCAGACTATGGTAGGGAGAGGGGGAATTGCCCTGCCACCACCACCTTCTTAGTCCTTGGTTAAAAGGTAAAGTGGGTGGTGTGTTAATAGAGCAACTGAGCAACCGGATTTTAGTTCAACATCTGAGCTTACCAACTTAGTAAACATGATGCAAAAACAGCAAGAAATTTAGTGATGAAAGTTTCATCTCTATTATTCACCAGGCACAATAAATTGATGGGTTTGATTGATAGATATGGATTTCATTCTGCCAGGAGGAAACAAGTGTAGGGAACAATCATTCATGAGCTATAATTAATCAAAAAGCATGTTTCTATAGCTAAAGGTTCCTGGAAAGTGAAATAAGAACAAAATAATATTCCTAAAAATTTTGCATATCATTAGAGAATGTTAACCATGCATCCATCGCATATCAGCACTAAAGAATATTTGGGACCTGTAAATGGAGCCTATAAGTTGTTGTCATTATATTAACAACAGCACATGTAGATCTTAGAAAGGCAATAGGCCAGACCCTAATTCATTTAACTGCTCTAGCTACCTATTACAAGGTGCCATTTTTACATCCTACAATAGTTATTAAAAAAAAAAAAAAGGCATGATTACGTAGCTCCTGTCTGCTCTTGCCAAAGCAAGGAATTGGAGGAGTTACTGAAATATGGTAGCATACGACATCACATGCTAGGTAATATTCAGTCTTTGACAAGTATTTTCCATTAGTTCAAAGGGTGAAGTGATTACAGCCCCTTGACAATATCAACCCGCTTTTGGCAATCCACCACACTAAATGTAACACGGACCAGAAAGAAAACAAGATGATAATTTGTGTTATGCACACGAGTCAATATGTATGTTGCTAATGTAAAAGGGGTTTAAATCTGGCATACCTGCACTTAGCATTAAACCATAGATTCTCTTCCACAGTCAAGTTCCCATGCACAATATCATCTTGTGGCACATAACCAATTATTTTCCTATATGAGCGGATTGATTCATTCTTTCCATTTATAAGAATCAAACCAGTCATCTTGCAACCTATTGCCTTTCCAGCCAGAGCAGAAATAAATGTTGTTTTTCCAGCACCTGAAGGGCCCATGACAGCAGTGATGCGACCAGGCTTAATTTTTCCAGTAACACACCTCAAAAGATGCTTGCCTTTCCCCTTCAAAGTGAGTGTAAGGTCTTTGAAAGAGACCTCAATCAGGGGCCTCTTCCTAATTTCAGAATTGGTAGCCATAGAAATTACTCCTGAGAATGTAAGATTTTTATTTTCTTGTTGCAGTGCTTTCTCTTTTTCAATTTGAGCATATGCATACTTAAAAATCTGGCTATGAGTATTAGGTTGTTTTCCCTTTGGCTTATGGCCTTTAGATTTTCTATCATGGGCACTAACATCAAATCCTTCATAATTTTCAGGGTCATCTTGAATTTCATGCATCATCCGCATCAAATTGCCAGGTTCCATTGGCTTTCCGTTGGATGGTGCAGATGATGCACTTACATGTGTAGGAGCATACAAGTCTTCATCTGCTTCAAATCTTGTTTGATCCAATATTTTAAGTTCCTCAGGATGCTTGGCAGATTTTTTAAAAGAAAATCTCTGTGAAAAATGAGTTTGCAGTCCACTTGCATGTTTCTTAGCAGCATCCTTAGCAGTTTTCCACCTTTGACGTGCTTTTGCTGTGTCTCTTGCACTTCTTGCTGCTGCTTCCCTGGTTTTCGCCAGTCGTCTTTCCCTTGTGTTGAGAACTTGGTCAGAACAGTTGTAGATAATGAGGAGCAGAGTAGTAGTAGCAGCCTGCATAAGCAAGGAGATATTTTATTATTTTTTTGGATGGTCGTCAAAGGGCTATAAGCATACTTCTGCAAGCATGTCAGACAAACAATAAACGATAAGAATCCAAGAAAAAAAATTTGGTGATTATACTTAGGGCGCTGGAGTAAAGCAAACAACTTACTATAAGCATAATTCCATAGGCATGCAAATCTTGATTTGATGTGTTTGACTTGCAAGAAGTCAACTTGAAGCAGCCTGCCAGATCAGTGAGGGTAAAAAAGCAGTCCAGGCATCATGAAGCCTCAACCAGGATATAAACCATAGGATCCTAAATATTAATTTCACAAAGTGACAAATGCCTATATATACTCCCAGTGGAGTCAGATGTAATATGCAAAACAAACAATCTAAGCAAAAGGCTTACCTTTCTCAGATGTTGAACCCATCCTGCAGTAATGTCTGAAAAAGCAAACAAAAATTTGATAGCATCAAGAAAAGTGAAAATAAACCAGAAGATTAAGGTATACATATAAATAATGCAGACAGGATTATTAAATATGTTGATATGATAGATATAGAAAGAATGAAACTGGCCAAATGTCAGAGCTCCAGGAGAAGTGACTAAGCGTAAGGAAGAAAACTAATACCCACTACTGCACGGCTTTTCCTGGGTTGTTGTTGGACAATATGACCCTGCTGAACAGAATACCTCACTACTGCTACGGACATCAGCCCATATATTGGCTCCTCCACAAGTATGGTTTGGCTTTCCTGGAGGCAGCTGGTAAAGATATCTGAAAAACCATATTAATAGTTTTTTCATATGAACCTTCTTATAGCCATAGGCCATTCAATTTGTAAAGCAATGTTTATAAGTAGCATTAACTTACGGCTCACATATGCCAGTAGCGTTATTGAGTGTTGCAACTGGACAATGGGAACCCAATGGGCAAGCTGTAGAAAGATAGCATCAGATAAAGCATGTGCAGGAAAAAAATAGAGATATTTTTAACCATTCTAAGAAAACAATGACTAAGCATGGAATGATACTTAGAAGAAAAGTTACAAGACCATGAACTAACAAAAGATACTTGAGAATTTTTGGTTATTAATGTTGCATACTTCATTACGAGGCAAGATAGCAAATTAACAATCTAGAAGCATAAGGATTAGATAGCAGAAAAGTATCCCTTGTTTTGCAGGATGCTCAATAATAAATGGAAATTAGCTATCTAGGAAAAAAGCCTTGAAAAGATCTTCAGATACTTACGAATCATGCATGTAAGACCACGAGGGCAGAAAAAGCCCTCACAACAAGCCTGACAATCATGAGTCCTAGGAGGAATGACTCGAGAATTTTCAAGGTCAACCTGCTGGTTTGGACCAATACTACAAGCCCATCCCGGCTCACAACCAGAAACCCATGAGGTTACATTACAGTTTTCGTTAGGCCTCAAATTAGTTGCACTTGAACTTTTAAAAAATGTATCAAAGTAGAATTTTGCCTCAGCTGCTGTGCACAAGCGCCGCATAATATCTCCTGTTGAACCAATGGACACCACAGTATTATACTAACACATGAGACAGTAGAATAAAAGAAATTTTTAACATAACTAATTCTAAGTCAATTCAACTAGTCTCATTTCCTTCTTCCTAGTACACAGTTGGTTTTGTGCAAGAATCTCTACTTAGAGTTATAACTTATGTTAAGGCAACAAATTTTAGAAGTAACAGCAACACTAACTACAATGTTTACAAAAATACTACTAGAAGAACACTGTCAAAGCCTCAAAATTTTCTTCTCATCTCTTTCTGCATTTCCTTAGCTACTAAAGAAAGCAAGTAGTTTCATTGTTGCTTATCACAGATATTGTACCTTTAGTTTTCTGAATACAGGAAGCCAAGAAGTCCAAATTTGATGAAAAATTAAATGCTTTATTCCAATCAGCTTCCCTGAAACATAGAGGCAGCTTCAAAATCAAAACAATCCAATTCCATTCTATGAACAAATATATAAAACTAACAAAAAAGTATCACCTCAGAAAATTTTTTGAAAAAAATTAAAGAAATTAACATTTTTTTAAAAAAAAAAATCACTTTGTAACCAGAAAAGAACATATAGCGCCAATTAGTACAAACTTCATTCGACATGTCGCAGCCAAGCTTCATTTTCGTTCATTATCAAAGAAACCAAAAGAATACAGAATAGAACAGTTCAATGCAGTTTACTGTTCTACAATTTGTTCAGCAACTAAACAGAGTAAAAGACCAAAAGGAAATGGCATGCAAAGCACAAAAGAAATGACCTTAATAGAACGAAATACAAGCTAACCTTCATTAACCAAAAACCCAAAGCAACATTAAACATAAAACAGACTCAATTCTCAATTATTCCCTTTCTTTTCCTCATCAATTCTATTTTAGACATAGATAATGAACAAGTATGACAGAGAGAAAAAAGAGAAAAGGAAAAACTTACTGGTCTTTTATGCAGAAACTGGCCTGGTCACGAATACCCTTGCTAAGAACTGCAGTAAGATTAGAAAGCCTGCTATTAACAAGGGCTGTAGTAAAGCGAAGAACAGCAGGATCGTCCACTTGATCATAATCATTCAAATCTTGACATTGTACCATATTCACCAAGAAACTCAAAACTACAAAAACCCAGAAAGAAACCGACCAAAAAGTACAAACTTTTAACTTCTTTAAGCCCATTTTGAGCATTTGCAAAGAAACCCAACAAAGAGACAACTTTGTTCTTTCGACCGGAAAAAAATGGAACTCTGCTTTTCACTTAGGATAAAAATGAGTGTGTGGAGCTAAAGAAAAATCTGAATGAGGATCATAAAGAGATCTGGGATTGGCTTAAGCAGCCATGTGGTGCGTTCTAAAGGTCAAACTTTTATATTTTAGAAAGGCTGCTTAGCCACCCTTTGTAGTAAAAGGAAATATCTTTCATTTTTATCCTCCCTTCCTTCCTGGTTCATGCCCAAGGCGGGGTGAAAAAGATAGAAGGAATGAGTTGGGAAGAAATGGTGAAAGTGGGACCCTTATAAGAGGAGACCTTGTCTTAAGGACCATTTGCTTGTTTGCCGGCTTTCGCTGACCGGACATGTTTGGTTGTGCTGTCTGGTTTGAGAAGAATACCGTGTGTAAATCTGTTTTACATAAGATTCCTATTCCTATATGAATAATATCAGCATGTGAACTAGTAAGTATCCCTAGTAGTAAATTATTCTATATCTTGAGTGTTTGGTGAAGACGTGTGAAAGTCAAGACCAAGCCAGGCCACCCAAACCTGAAAGCTGGATACTATGGTGACCCTTGAATGAGCCAAGCCTACCATGGCCAGGTCCATGGTAGGTCTGGTTGACATATTTCAAATCATTTTCCATTTTTTTCTTTTACCCTGGGAATCATGAGGCTGTAAGGTCCTAGCATTAGTACCATAATTTCGTCTCAAACTAATGGAAAGCAGAGAACTTTACTTTTCAAAGTTGTCAGGAACTGTTAAGGTATAAATCTATGACAAAGTAAATTTGGGTAACCCGTTGGTGTTGGTAGATTAAGTGTATCAGTTAACGGCATGTATAGGCTTTAAGAAATCTATTATGCTGCCTACATGGTATTATGCAGTACTGAGCTTATGTAAGGCTACAAGAATTTTATCAAAGTCAGAATTTTTATATCAATGAAAGTCTTTTGTCAGACTTAATAAGAGATTTGGGCATTAAAGGATGAGTAAAATTAAATCAAATTAATTATTCATATGAATTAAATATAATTCACATAAAACGGTTAAATTCAATTGATTCTAATCGATTTATGTTTAAAATTTTTTAAATCAAATTATCCAAAAATCAAATTAAATTTATACATATTAATATATATAACATTAAGTATTATTTTTAAATTTATATAAAATATAATATATATATTTTTAATTTTTAATTACTACTTATTATGTTACATTTCCACCTTTGACTTCTTCATTTTTGTCTTTAACCACTCCTCTTGTACATTTTTTTTCTCACCTAGTGACCTTTACATTTTACTCTTTTTTTATTTTTTTAATTATTTTTTATTTATACATTTTAAGATATCAAAGATTGAGATTATAAATTCTATTTTTGTTATTGAGGATTGATAAGTGAAGAGTTTAGAAATAAATTCTTCACACTTTAATTAAAATAAATGTTAAATTTTATGATTTTTTACACAGTTTTTCATTTTTAATCTACTTTTACTTTGTTATTAAAAAAATTACACTAATTATATTTTTAATATTCTTTCAATTGTTAGATAGTTTATGTGAGTGAATGTGAAGACCCAAGTCATGAAAGAGATGCAAGTTGATAATTTATGATAGTTAGTAGTCTTATGTTAGATAATTTTATTTTGTGGATGTTAATTTTATTGTTTTTGACTTTTTGTTATGTTGACTCTTGAATATTAATTTGACGGTTTATGTAAAAAGACATAATTATATGAGTGAATAAATAAATGTTATTTTTTTTATACTTAGATTATTTGTATATTTTATAATTATGAATAAAGTTTAGAAGTTTTAATATTGTAATTTGTAAAAAAAAGTGATAAAATTTTGATCCATTAATTCAAAACCGAATTGACCAAACCAATTTAATATTTAATCAATTTTAATTAATTTTTTAAAAATATTTAGTCTATTTAATTTTTAGGTATGAAAAACTAAATTGTCTAATTGCTCACTCGTAATTGAAAAAAAAAAACCTTTTCAAAAAAAAAAGTTGGAAATCCAAATAAGTATATGATTTATAAAACCAAAGATCTTGTCTTAAATAATCTATAATCTGATTAACCTATTAATGTACAAAGCTATAATCCACCTATTCTATTCAACTCATTTTTTTCTCAATTTTTTTTTGTTAATAAGATAATTATGGGAGTTAATATAAATCTTAGCCGTGATTACCTCCTACAATCATTGGTAGAACTTAATTAAAAGGCCACCATTAACTATTCATAAACATTGTTAATTAAACTGTTTGACTTATTGCATTTAGTAAAAGTTAAGCATCCCCTTGTTTCGTTTTTGCACCTGCTTACGCTATTAAAGTAATTAGTTGCCACATTCCTAATTCCTCATAAACAGGCTTGAATAAATACAAGACTTGAGAGATCAGAACAATTTATTAATCTATGAATTTTAATTCATAATCAAAAGAATTAACAACATGTTACAACAGTAATCAAGGGGAGGAAATATAACAATAAAATGTGAAATATAATAATAAAGTGAAAAATGATGAGTATTTGAGTATTTAATTTATTAATTAATATATAATTTTTTATTTAAAAAATAAAATTTGAATTTCTTTTCTTTAATCAAAAATAAAATAAAAAAAAAGGTGAAATTGACTGCACATTCTAGACTATAGGCATTGCCTTTATGCGCCACAGCTAATGATCCAAACTTCACCTTAGCTTGTACCACCAAACTTTACACTACACCAATGAAGGGTTTGCATATTGTTGGAGAGGCAAACTCCACAAAGGAACCTAAAAGGACAGGTTCATGATCATGAAGAAAGAAGCAAATGTCATATCAATACTGTTTCATTAATAATCTGATCTCCCCATTGTCAGTTTCAACAGAAGCAAGGGGTACAGATGCATTAAGTGCAAAGCTTTTTGGCAAATTGTCTTGTTCATTTATGTAACCAGGTTCATGACAAAGATAAAAGGATTACAATCATGGATTAAATTATTCCCCATATTACATTATTTAATTATTTATAACATTTCTTGATATTATCTAAAAAAATAACAATTTTGGACACATCATGCAATGTTAGTTTTTGAAATGATTTTATATTTAATCAAATTGGCCAAATCAATTCAATATTTGATTGGTTTCATCCTCTTTATATTTAATCAATTCGAATTAATTTTTTAAAAATGTTTCCCCCATTTAATCTTCAGGATTGATTGTCTAAACTGACCAAACTACGTCATTGCTCGTCTCTACTTCCATTGACGCGTTGTCAAAATCATATTAAAGGCCGTGAACAAGTCGGTAGAACGTGGATTCGAAGTATTAATGTTATGGAGAATTCAAGAGTTTGTAATGAATGATCTGTTGACTTTCCTCATCCTAAAATGATGGTGCAACTCTATTGCTGACACACAACAAGAAGTTAGAACTACCCTTTTTTTTTCCCAGCAATTTCATGAGTTTTGACTTGTGAATTGTTTTTGTCTTCACTTTGAATTTCTATTATAATACAATTTGAAGCCCATGGTTGCAAGCTATGTTAATGGTTTCCAACTTCCAACGACACCTTTAAAAAAGAAACACTGCAAATACAATTCCTCCTTTTTTTGTATTCATAGATATGCTATACAAATGACTCATTCTCCGTGATTGTTTCACCTTCAAATCCTTTCTTTTGAAGAAAGTGACAGCCAAATCTTTTCCCTTTTCACACCTTTTCACTTTTTTGTTCTTCAAGTCCTAGACATAATACTATAATCTCATTTGGTTTTTATCATTATTTTTTTTGGGGGGCTCTTGTTTACTCACTAAAAGCTTTTTTTTTTCTTTTTTATTTTTTTTTCCTAATGAGGTTCTTGGTTGGTGAGCTAAAATACAGCTGCCTTGTATTGACTCGTTGCTTTAGATCATGGAGAGCTCGTTGCTGTGTCCTTGGATCCTCTCAGTATTCCTTTTGGCTTTCTGGGTATCTCTTTAATATGGAAAACCTGTGAATTCTATCTATTTTGTTGTTGTTGTTTTTCTGGGGTTATATTCTCAGAGAGCATTAGCAAAGGTCAGTGCTTTCTTGAAATTATTTCCTTTCTGTCAAAAAGTGTTTTGAATTTTTTTGGTCTTTCACAATTCAAAATGTTGTTGAATTTTCTTTGTAGCATATGTCAGTTTATATCTTTTTCAAGATTTCTTGGTGGTTCAATGCAGAACTTCTTTGACTTATATTACAGTTTCTCTCTCTCTCTCTCTCTCTCTCTCTCTCTCTCATGTTTGATATATTTGTTGAGTAACTTGTTGCACTGGAAGTTGGTTCCTTTGAGGAATAGTATACCATTGTCAAAGATGTATCTGATGACATTTTAGTCTATGGTACATAATTAATTTTGAATTTGTAATGCTCAAGAAAAATGGTATCTGACTGTTTTCTCTAATAAGATGAATTGTTTTGTTTTAAGCCCTGGTCATGGAATTTAGCTGGTGACTAAAAATGCAGACAAAGAACATCGGCATCTTGATGTCATGTTTGACGTTTAAAAGCCTACTTTTTTGGAGTTGCTAATGGTATTTTGTCTCATATCTCGAATTTTGCTGGAAGTTGTAGTTTGATTGGTTTTATGCTGCTTGAACATGTGAAATTGGAGAATAGCTGTGTTTATACTTTATCTACATCCTTCGTCTCTATACTTTCATTTTGTTATCAGCAATCCTTGTTAGGATTAAGCTTTAGGTTACGATTAGGTTCATCAGGATGTTAATCTCACAATCTATATGAGTTAATCTATACTGATGCAATTCTTAATGTGCAGTGAGGTTGTCTGTTTCTTTAGGGCTATGAAGTGTTTTTATTTCTCTGGTAAAGAGAAGAATGCTGAACCAAAAACTACAAAGTCTATTTCGGTCCGGTCTTCCACTTCCATTTCCATGTCAGCAGATCATGATATGAGGAAATCTGGGTCTGAGTTCAATTCTCAGAATGTCTCAGATTTTAGCACAGAATCCTCCACGAAGAATTCATTTGCTGCTTTATCTCAAAGACAAAGTAATCTCAGAGAGTTCACATTCTCAGAGTTGAAGACAGCAACAAAGAATTTCAGCCGCTCCCTGATGATCGGAGAAGGTGGGTTTGGTGGTGTATATAGGGGTGTAATCCGACGCACAGAAGATCCTCATAAGAAAATTGATATTGCTGTTAAACAGCTCAGCAGAAGAGGGTTGCAGGTGAGCTTTCTGCTTTTGTAAAATTTGGTACAAAAAAAGGCATTTCAAAATTTTAAAATTTTCCCGAGTTTGGGTGTGAAGTCTTTTGGGTAACATGCCAGCAAATTTACCTTTATTTCTGTGCATTATTAATCTTTCATATCTGTCTTATCTGTACTGAGAAACCAACAATTCCAGGGAGTTCTTTCCTTGTAAAGTTGCAGATATAACTTACATAAAGGGAATATTGTAGTTTGTTCTACATGCTGAATTTAGACACTTTATATGTTTATTAAATACATAGTTTACTTGAATACATATAATCCTTTTATCCCTATGAATTAATTAATGTCTTTTAATCTAAAAAAGCATGTGTACAAAATATTCCAGGAATGTGTGGTTGGCTACTTTAACAGTCATCTTCTCAGCACTTCTAGACCTTCCATGGTTGACACTCTTATGCTAGCAGAAGATGCTGGCTGCTTCTTGTTTTTTGTTTCCTCGCACAGTTTTCCACTTAGCCATGGGAACATTAAATTGTGGTAGGAAGTCAAAGAAGAGTTTTGGATAACCAAGTTAGATAAGGAGTATAAATTATGACTTCTAACTAACTTATATTAATTATTGAACCTGATTTTGGTGAAAATCAATGCGAGAGGAATTAAATGTCATAGTTATCAGGCTGAAGTGAGTATGGAACTGCTAAACATTTTCAGATGGAGCGCTTTACTAAGAACAAATAAATCTTTAGGGGATACACAGCCTACTGCATGATCTTTTATGAAAATATCCACATATTTTGGGATAGTTTAAATCATTTTTCCCAGTTTAGAGGCCCCCATCTACTGGTGCCCTGCTCATGCCTTTCTTCCTAGCCTTTCTCAAACTGTTTTAGCATAGACTGCAATGCATCTTGATTTCTATGGCTTAAGATTGCATTAACCTACTTTTTACTTTTAATGAGTACTTATTTTAGAAAAGGGGAAATCTCTGGCGATTAAATTGATTCCCTTATTCCTGTTATATGTTCTTTTCTGTAACACGTAGATGTTACAATCCTTTTGAAATATGTAATATTTGTTTCTACATTTTGTTGACAGGGGCACAAAGAATGGGTGACAGAAGTAAATGTTTTAGGGGTAGTTGAACACCAAAATCTTGTGAAATTGGTGGGTTATTGTGCTGAGGATGATGAAAGAGGGATACAGAGGCTGCTGATATACGAGTACATGCCCAACAGGAGTGTGCAGGATCACTTGTCAAGTCACTTTCAAACAACACTTCCTTGGACCACCAGAATTAAAATTGCCCAGGACGCTGCCCGAGGCTTAGCATACCTTCATGAAGGAATGGACTTTCAGGTACCTTTTACTTCTTGCTAGCTATGATTGCAATCTGATAGAGAAATTTTCTTCTTTTGGTATATATGTAGATGAGGTGGGAAACAAAATGCAAAAAAAGAATAGGGAAAAAAAGGTGCAAAATTAGTATAAAGATTTCATGCAAAGAGTTGTGGTAGGACTTAAAGGAACTAGGCATATCAAAAAAAGAAACACTCAAAAACATGATGAATTGATAACAATGAAGCTTCTTATTGCAAATGAAACCCGCATTTTACCTCATTGCATCTTTTAGCCCCTTTAGAAGTTTAAATCCTTTTCTTGAACTATACATATATATATTATTTATCATGAACTTTTTTTTTATGATTGGCTCAGATTATTTTCAGAGATTTCAAGTCCTCAAATATACTTTTGGATGAGCATTGGAATGCAAAGCTGTCAGACTTTGGGTTGGCCAGACTGGGGCCTTCAGATGGATTAAGTCATGTCTCAACTGCGGTAGGTTTTGAAGTTGCTGCAGATGATCTTAAATTGCATTTGTTTTCTTTACACTGCAATTTAGGTCATAAAAGCTTATGCCATATGTCATATTTACTTGAAGATGCTAGACCATTTCTTGAAATGCTACGTTGTCTTTGTTGACTGCTAAAAATTGCTTTTCTGATACTCATCTGCACTACTCACCTTAAAATGAATGGACTTTTGCTTCCTTTCAACATCTCCAAACCCTTTGCTTATTATCCCTCCTCCCCCTTTCTCTGGCCCCATTTCTTCCATATTCCTTGTGCAAATGTTTCATATCATGCTCTTTTTACAGGAATAGAGGTGCCAATTTGTCCACTTTCCGTGCAGGTTGTAGGAACTATTGGATATGCAGCTCCTGAATACATTCAAACCGGGCGCCTGACAGCTAAAAGTGATGTGTGGAGCTATGGAGTTTTCCTTTATGAACTCATAACAGGTAGGCGCCCTTTGGATCGGAGTCGCCCCAAGCGTGAGCAAAAGCTTTTAGAATGGGTCAGGCCACACATCTCTGATATAAAGAAGTTCAAGTTGATTTTGGACCCTAAGCTCGAAGGGAAGTATTCTCTCAAGTCTGCACATAAACTTGCAGCAGTAGCAAACAAATGCTTGGCGCGGCAGGCCAAACAACGTCCCAAAATGAGTGAAGTTCTAGAAATGGTGAACCAAATCGTGGAAGCAACAGATATGGTAAGCCCCCAACTCCCTATGAAGAGTTCAACTCCGAAAAATGTCTCTGAAGTATCAAGAAGGGAGCGTCTAAAACGAAGGTTTGTTGATCTGATAACCGGGGACAAAGGATGTTTGATTTGGCGAGCATGGAGACCAAAGATTGTGAGAACTTGTTAAGAAACTAGTTGATGAATTTGGTTGAATTCTGTAAGTTAGTCTTCCCTATGTATCGCATAAAAACAATTGTAAAGTCTTCCCTACGTATCGCATCAAAACCATTGTAAAGGCTTTGCTTTGGCTGTAGGAAGTTTTCGAACTACCGTATTTGAGCTGATACTTTGTGCTCAAAGTTTAATAGCTTGAAAGAGTAATATCTAGTCAATAGCTGTTTAATTTCATCTTATACATAAGTCTCCAAGGTATTTGGTTTATCCTCAGCTTTCGTAACTTTCATCAATAATTTGTTAAAATGAAGCAGCTAATGCAAAGATGCTTTGCTTGATGTATGTTTTGATCAAAGCTTAATTGCTTGTAATCAAAAGCATTGACTGGATTCTCTCTGCCTTGATTTACAAGCTACATTGATAATTAAAAGATATTAGTGATGAGTCCTTAAAGTTGTTAAGAAGGTAACCATGGTGGAAAAGGAAGTGACAAGCCTAGTTTGTGTTTGTTCTCTAAGAATTTGGATGCCATGACTAAAACTTCATGGGGCAGAGGAATTAAGTTTGAAGTAGCTGACATGATTTATAAGACCCTTTTCATCAAATGAAGCTCCAATTGGCTTTAACCGAAAAACAGGTTGAATCAAAAGCCAATCCAGACTTGAATTTGGATTATTAGTGTTCACAAAATAAATGTGTTAAACATTGACTTTGGGTAATTTACACAAAAAGAAACTCCAGGAAATTGGGTCAAATAGGCACCGAGTCAGTGTTGTGCTTGGGCTTGTTTAAGAGGCCTATAAGAACTAACTCACTTAAATTATATTCAAAAACTTAAACCCAACTCATTCCAAAGCCCTTCTTCTTCTTATTCTTACTAAACAGTGAACGCGGCGAGCTCTCTTTCATGGCTACCGAAGAGGAATCAATAGAACAAGCAGCTGCGTCACGTCGAGAGAGGCTTAGAGCTCTTAAAGCAGCTCAGGAACTGTTAAGTACCCCAGATGAAGATTCTGCTCAAGCTGCTGAAGACAAAACAAATGAAACTGACGAAGAAAAGTAAGTTAAAAAGCTTCCTATTTTGTTTAATTTCCATGCCAGGATTTATTTATTTTTTAGCATAAAGGTAATATGAATTACTCTTTAGTAATTGGGTTCATAATGGGTTTTCTTTATCTTGTGAAGATATGGATGTTTAAGACTATGGGTACAGGAATAGCATAAATCCTAGTTAAAATTGGCTGATGTACCTGGAGTTTACACGAATCGAGCTGAGTAGAAACAATATGCTAGAACTTGAGCCTCAGAAGGAGGATCGAGTTTGACTTCATTAGGCTTGATTATGTGGGATTGTTATTTTAGTTGTACATAATGGAGTATTAAATAAAATATAATTATAATTTTAACGAATAATGACTTTGATTCAAGTATTAAGATATTGAATTTGGTCCAATTGCTGCTTGAGCTTGAGCTCAACTCAAGAAAATACAAGTTGATGTCAAGTATTCTCTAAGTTGAGCCCTAATAGCTTGCGAGTCAGCTTGACTTGCTTACACCATCGACTACGATTTAGTTTGAAAATAATTTCCATAGGAAATAGCTGCTTTCTGGTTTTAGTGTCCTTTTGAGAACTAGAAGGGCAAGGAGATAGTGTTCATTTCTAAGAGGCTTTGCTTGTTAGGAAGGATGGAATATTTTGTTATCCAATGACTATGCAATGTAATAGGAACAAGGTTGTGTAACTCAATGTTTGGACTGAAAAGTTTTCTATCCTTCCGCTTTCCCATCATTCTTAACCAAGCACAGTCTTAGAGGCTGAAAGGAAAATGAAAGATGAGAGTAATGATCCTCTCCCTCTGAATCATCTCAATTTGTGAAAATTGAAAAAATGGGGGATTGTAGGGACGGGTTACCCTTCTCCTCCACTAAATATTCTTGAAACAAGGAAAGCACTTTTCTTCCTTGCTTCTCTTCCCTTTCCAACCTTCCCCTAGATCCAAACAAATCACAGGTTTTCATAGTTTTCTTATTCCAAAATGAATTATGAAAACATAATGTATATTAATTGGATGCTGCTTACTACCTGCGCATTGACATTTCAATCATTAACACTTATAATATCCTTGCTTTTTTTTATTCCATAGAATTTTCAGCATGAACTTTCCATGTAAATTTCCATCCAAAGATTTTGTTTTTTTAGTGCAAATATAATATGTGCTATAGAATAACAATACGGTTTATTATGGGCTTCTTTTTCTCTTAAAAATATGGATGTTTTAGATTATTGGAAGGGGCCGGTATGAAAGTACAGTAAAAATTAATTGAATATTACTCTCTTAAATTCAATACAAACCTACCGGGCATATAGATAGAAAATAATTGCCATTGGAAGTTTTTGCTTTCTTCTTTTGGCCTTTTGGGCAAAATAAATCACTAGCACTAAATTGAGGAATTGCATGGGAAAATGGAATGAGAGGTAAAGGAGGAAGAGTGGGGAAGAGGGGAAAAGAGAGGCCAAGGCCTTATTTGGATTATTTGAAAAGATTAAGGGAAGAAAAGAAAGGATGTGCTATGTAGCCCTTAATCTGTTAAGGAGTGGAAAGGAATGGGGGAACTATAACTTGTCAGGTCTTTTTACAGCTATATCTTTTTGTAGGGCTTGTATGGTAGGAAGGATGGAAAGGTTGAAGGATACAAAAAGTATTAGGCCTATGAGGTAGAATTTTGTATAACAACCTTTGGATTGAAAAATCTTCCTTTCTTTCACCTTTCCATATTCTCTCTCTCCGATCATCTCAATTAGGGAAATTGAACAAATTGGGGTTTGGACAGTTTTGATGGAATAAATGTAACCCTTGTTATCCATTCTCCTCCCTTAGAAATTCTCCAAACAAGGTAAAGCACCATTCCTCCTTGGTTTTCTTCCTTTTGCATCTAGTCCGTTGGATCCAAAGAAAGTGGGGAACTTTTTGTAGTTTACTGGTTTGAAAATGAGTTGCAAATACACCATGTATGTTTGGATAAATGTCTTCTAGCAGCTCTTTCATGTATACCTTCCTTGCTGGTCTTTTTTGTTCGACAGTAATTGCAGCATGAAGTTTCGAAATTATGTACCTCATGATAAACAGCTTCAGGAGGGTAAAGTTGCTCCCCCGGTGCTGCCAAAGTTTGAAGATCCTGTTGAAGTAGCACCTTCACCATCAGAAGACAAAGAGGTGCTTGTTTATCCTCAATATCTTGTATAACTGAGCAAGAGTTTTTCTTTAAGTTTATTCTAATTGTGGGTCAAATGGTATAGGATCCCTTTGTCAACATTGCTCCCAAGAAACCAAACTGGGATCTACGAAGGGATGTGCAGAAGAAGCTTGATAAGCTTGAAAGGCGCACACAGAAGGCAATATACATACTTATGGGTAAGTAATATTGTGTCAACCAACTTCTGTTAATATGCTGATGAGTAAGATTGGCTGTCAAATTTTTATAGGAATTTTAGATGTAAGCCATAATAACTAGTATCAGGTTCCCAATCAGCTTTAAAGAGGTAACCTCAATGCACATTTGCCATATGCTTTTTATTAACTATAGAACTGGAAAAGTCAGATTGGTTATCAGGTTTGATCAGATTTAAAGTATATAGCAACTTCAGGTTAGCAACAAAAATCTTGAATGTGAACTAGAATTGTAAATAAAAATACATAGAAAGTCCTACTCAGATAGGATTATAAAAACTAAAAATTTAGCTTATCTGGTGGTTAAGGTTTTCACTGAATTGTGATGGAGCAGCTTACAACAAATTAAAGACAAAGAAAGGGTGCATCAGAATGTCACAAGCAAACCGTGTAAAAATAAGATAACACGTAAATAAAGCAGGGAAGAAAAGAATCTAGAAGTTAACTGCTGCGCTTTAATATAATACACACAGTAATTAAGATGCTTTAGCTTGTAGGGCTCCCAATAGAAGCTGCTAATTGTTAAGTCTGTGAAACTTACCTGTGGAATCAAAATCTGCTGTTTAAACTTTTTTTAAAGGCTCTGTATGCACTTTGTTATAATTCTTGATCCTTAGGATGACGCGAAGATTGTCACATTTGCATGTTGAATTATGCTCGTTTTTTAAGCTTTGGACAAGGTTGTAACTAATTTTAAGCATGAGGTCAAAAATTAATGCTATGTTTGCATGTCTCCTTCCTCCTGCTGGGATTGGTGATTTATCAAAATGTATGGCTTCAGCTGGAAGTTCCTTCCTATGCATTTGAAGTTATTATTCACTATGTAACGTAATCCTGTTTTAAGTATTCAATGGTTTTAGGTTGTAGTCAAAACATTTTATTGTGCTTGATGTGAACATGAATGTCGTTTGTCCATGGTTATTAGGTTTCTAACTGTTCATATACATATAGAAGAGAGTTTCCATCAAGAAAGGAAAAAGGGAAAAAGGAGAGTTGGTGTTTCTGCTTTCTTTCAGAAATTTATTAGTTTTCACATGTAACATTCACTTTCTGCAGTGGATGCTCTAATAAATGCTTCTGTATCTTTACTGGTGCGGAATGACTATGATCATAATAAAGCTGTCTAGTGGTTGTGTTTCATGTGGAAATCTGTTTGATTGGTGTCAATTTTTGTGCCACGCAGAGCAACAAGAACAGGAAAAACAGTTGGCTGAAGGTGGAAATAACATTGAAGACTAGAATTAGATCTGAAGCCAAAGATTCGTAGAACTACTCTTATCATTAACTGCTTAGAAATGGTGATCTGTTGGAGCAGCTGAATGAAATACTTGTAGGAAAACAATATGTTATTCAATAGTGAATTAGCCAACAGAAAACTGCTTGAATCTTTTTGAGACTGAAATATGATTCTATTGTCAATACCTGAGATGCTTCATCTATACCTAGTTGCATAATCTGAAGGTGCCAGGTGTTTTGGTTCACCAGAATTCTGATTAGCACAAGTCAAACTCCAAATGGTGTTTGAGTTGCTTTTCAATTACACTACAATTGCCAGAATCCATCTTTGTTTTATCTGCTGTTCTATTGTAGTCATAGAATAATTTTCTAGTGGAAGATTAGATTCCTGGATGAGGATCTTGGACTGCTATTAATAAACAAAAAAGCCTACCAAAAGTAATTGCCCTCCCCAAATACCCCAATCCAGAGAAACATTATAGAAGTTGTACAGAAGAGGGGTCTTCAGTTGGCAACATCGTAGAAACCTATATTAATTACCAAATCTACAGTTTTGAAATAATTTGGATACTAAATGTGTAATTAATTCTTATATATATATATATTTGAAAAGTAATCCTGGAAAATATTTACTTTAGCTAAATTGCAAGCTCCAGTAAACCCAACTCCGAAGTAGAGAAGGAAAAGAAAATACTAATACAAATAGGAAATCCACCATTCAAAAAATAATAAAAATACAAATAGGAAACCCAAATCCTACTCTAAGTAGAAGATTAATACTATACAACAAGGGACCAGCAGTGCTTTCTTTCACTTTCTCAATCTAAATTTCTACTCTACCTTTTACCCCAAGGTACCAATGGCGCTCTGCAATTCAAGCCATCACTACAGGATTTACGTTTCTGCACAGCCAAACAATGCTTCCCAGGATGATCAATCTTTGGAATCTCCTCAGATCACGTTCAAGTGCAACATCAAGGTGAGTTACATATCAGACAAACCAGACAAATCCATTCAAATCCATGTTCAAGGCCACGATTCGTGGCATGAATTTGAGCATAATCCAGCAAATGAGCTGACGAGGGATTTTATATCTAATATGCTTGCCAACACCAGAATAATCCCATTTTCGTTGAGAAATTTGCATTGGAAAAAACGGATTTATGACAAAGAATCAGTCCCCTTAATGTCAACAGATAGTGTTATAATCTCCGTGTTGGATGTTTGTCATAACATGGTCCGTGAATCAAGACGCAAGAAAATGTTTCTACTTGTGTTTATCAAGAAAGAAGTGATTGTGCCCCATGCTGAATATCTGGCAATGCTCAAGGCGAAGCAAGCGGAAGAAATTCTTCACCAGCTTGAAGATATGGTTCGGTTGCAGGCTCAGGGCTGGAGCTTCCAGCAAGCAGATTGGGAAAACATGGGTAATGTTATAAGACAAGCGGGACTTGGTGATTCGATAAGGAACGCTTTGGATTTAGCCAGGGAACGTGCTATAAGGGAGTCGAGTGAACAACAAGTGGTTAGGTTGGTGCCTGCAGCTGCAACATCGATTCAAGTCTTGGAAAAGGTCACCTGTGGTTCAGAAGAGAAGTGTTCAGTGTGTTTGGAAGAGATGTTAACTGGTTCTCAAGTGACTCAGATGCCTTGCTCCCACGTGTTCCATGGAGACTGCATTGTTCAGTGGTTGAAGACAAGTCATATGTGTCCGGTGTGCCGGTTCAAGTTGCCAACAACATAGTTTGTTCTTTTCTCTTCTGCATGTTCAAAATTTGTTTCAATATTGACATTAGAAGGTATCCTTTTCCTGATGTTTTTCAAAACTTAACACATATAGTGCAAAATTTTAAGCTTTTATCTATACTTTGTTGAAGTAAAACACAAGAATTCCTTTTTATCTGGGTGTCTTTTTGAAGAATGATCTGTTTTGCTCGTCACCTCAGCATCCCTGAGTGTTATGAGCTGCTGCGCCGCAGGCTGACCACTCCTTAAAGTTTAGGTTGTTTCTCTTTTGTTCAAACTTTTGTTAACATAGGTATAGAAACGATTAGGGTTACAATGGTAGAATTATACTTTCGTTTAACTTCATCAATCTTCTGGACTTGGTAACAAACAATTTCTTTTGATATAATCAATGAGAAAGTCCATTCTGCTTTTCAAGAAACATTAACCATTAGCATGTCTTCAAAACGCATATCAGGGGCAGTGCCTTCAAAAGAAGCTGTTAGAAGAAGAGGAAGAGCAATCTGAATTTCAAGCATGAGGTCAAAAATGAATGCCATGTTTTGCATGTCACCTTCCTCTTGCCTGGATTAGTGGTTTTATCAAAATGTATGACTTCAGCTGGAACTTTCTTTCCTATGTGTTTTAAGTTATCATTCACTATGTAACATAACCCTGTTTTAAGTATCAATGGTTTTGTGTCATAGTCAAAACATTGTATTGTGGTTGATGTGAACATGAATGTTGCTTGTCTATGGTTATTAGGTTTCTAAATGTTCATGTGTATATAGAAGGAGAGTTCCCATCAAAAATGGAAAAAGGAAAAAAAAGGAGAGTTGGTGCCTTTGCTTTCTTTCAAAAATTTATTAGTTTTCACATGTAATGTTCACTCTTTGTAGTGGATGCTTTAATAAATGCCTTGTTGATAAGTCTTTTTCCTCTGTCATTTAGAAGCTCCTAATCAATAGGAGGAAGATTTTTTTTTTACCATTATTTTAGGAAGAAGTTGCATACTGTTAACTGATTTTATGCCCATTTTATTATTTTCTTGTTACATGTACAACCTATAAGGCTAGCTTTTGGTAAATAAAGCATGTTTAGAACTCATCCTTATCCTTTCTTTGTATTGTCTAATCTGCTCCCTATTGTTTTATGTTCCTTACTTATTTGTTTTCTTTTATTTGGTATTAGAGCAAGGTTTTAAAAGTGTTATAGACAATATTCCTTGCAACAGCTAAAATTCTACACACTTTCTTATAGCTTCTGAGAATTTCGTCCAACCCTCCATTCCACATTTTGACGGTCATTATGACCGTTGGAGTATGTTGATGGAGAACTTTATGAGATCGAAAGAATACCGGCAAGTAGTTTCAGAAGGTATATCGCAATAGGCAGCAAGAGCAGTAGAAGCATAAAAAACAGAAGTAAAGGCGTTGAAATTGAAAGATCTAAAGATCAAAAATTATGTATTTCAGGCCAATGATTGTTCAATCTTGGAGACATTGCTTTGCAAAGACACCTCTAAGCACATATGGGACTCAATGAAGAAAAAGTACCAAGGTTCTGTCAAAACCAAAAGGCAACAACTTCAGGCACTTCGAACTGAGTTTGAAACCTTGAGGAAGAAGCCAGGTGAGACAATTACAGAATACTTCTCAAGACTAATGGCCATTGTTAACAAGATGAGGGTGCATGGCGATGCGTCAGAAGATGTGGTCATTTTAGAGAGGATTTTGAGATCACTGACACCAAAATATAACTTTGTTGTCTTTCCATAGAAAAGTCACATGATATTAGCTCACTATCCCTAAATGAGTTTCAGAGTTCGTTACGTGTTCATGAGCAGAAGTTGATCCAACTAGACCAAGTGGAGCAAGCTCTTCAAGTCTCTACTCAAGCAAGCAGGCTGATAGGAGCAAAAAAAAAATGGATACAAGAGTGTGCAAACAGATAATAATGCTCAAAGAAAGGAGAGAGGTCAAGGAAGATCTACTCAAACTAGTCACAAAGGAAAAGCAGGAAGCAAGGCACATTTTGAGTGCTACAGGTGTCATAAATTTGGCCATTACGAGTCAGAATGCAGAACAAATAGGTCAAAAAGCAAGGAAGAATCATCCAATTTTGCAGAACAGGAGGAAGAGATATCTTTGTTGATGGTCTGTCAAACAAAGGAGGAAACTGTCAAGGGCTTGTGGTACTTAGACAAGGGGTGTAGTAACCATATGAGTGGTAACAAAGAAGTTTTTTCAAGCTTGGACGAAACTTTCAGAGACAACATGAAATTTGGAGATAACACTAAAGTCTCTGTCATGGAGAAAGGTTAGGTCAAAATCAGAACAAAAGGGAATGCAATTCAAACAATCTCCAATGTACTCTTTGTACCAAATTTAAAGACCAACTTGCTGAGCATTGGACAACTACAAGAGAAAGGCTATGAAGTGATTATCAAGGATGGTATGTGCAAAATTCAAAATGACAAACTTGGACTAACAACACAAGTAAATATGACTGCCAAAAGAATGTTTCAACTTAATCTTAATTATATTGAGCAGTAATGTTTTACAGCTCAGTTGAGGAATACAACTTGGTTGTGGCATTTTAGATATGGCCACTTGAATCTTGGAAGACTAAAAATCTTACAACAGAAGAACATGGTGACTGGTCTTTCAACTTTTCAAATTTCTTCCAGCATTTGTGAAGATTGTGTCATTAGAAAGTAGCATAAGGTATCTTTTCCAAAAGGAAAGACACAGAGAGTAAGAGAAATATTAGAGATTATCCACTCATATATATGTAAACCTATCACTCCAACTTCAAATGGTGGAAAAAGCTACTGTGCAACCTTTATAGATGATCATAATAGAAAAACTTGGGTGTACTTTCTTGCAGAAAAATCAAAAGGATTTGAAACTTTCATGAAATTTAAAGCAATTACAAAAAATGAAGCAGGAAGGAGAATTCAGGTGCTACACATAGATAGAGGTGGAGAGTATGACTCACAAGATTTTTTAAAATTTTGTGAGTTACATGGCATAAAGAGACAGAAAACAGCAGCTTACAGTCCATAACAAAATAGAGTGAGTCAGAGGAAGAATCCAACAATCATGAACATGTTGAAAAGCTTGATGGTAAGGAGCAGAGTGCCAAAGAAATTTTGGCTTGAAGTAGCAAATTGGAGTGTGCACATTCTGAATAGAAGTCCAACATTGTCTGTGCAAAACATGACACCTGAAGAAGCATGGAGTGGAAGAAGACTTGATGTAAGTTATTTCAAAATTTTTGGTTGCATTGGTTATGCATACATACCAGATGAAAAAAGGAAGAAATTGGATGACAAAGGATAGAAGTGTGTGTGTTTCTTGGCATAGCAGATTGTACAAAAGCTTACAAACTCTACAATCCCACTATAAAGAAGATTGTAGTTAGTAGGGATGTGGTCTTTGAAGAAACAGAGTTTGCAATGGGATGAAGGGGGAGCAAGCAACATATATCTACAAGTCTCAATGATGAAGAGTAGACCAATGGTGAAGGAAAACAGCATAATATAGAACAAGCTAAAGAGGTTGAAACTACTAGTCAAAGCACAAGTACCCTTGACTAGAGAGTTAAAAGGCAACGAAGGAGGCTTGCTTGGATGGAAGATTATGAGGTAACTGGAGTTTGTCAAACAGATGAAACTTTGACTCATTTTTTTCTTGTTTACAGAATATGATCCAATTACCTTCGAGGAAGCTGTCAAGAAACCATAATGGTAGAAGGCAATGAATGAGGAGATATCAGCCATTAAAAGGAATAACACTTGGGAACTGAAAACATTGCCAAAAGGGCAGAAAAGTATTGGAGTGAAATGCTTGTTGAAGACCAAGCTGAAATAAAATGGAGAGATAGACAAACACAAAGCCAGACTTGTAACAAAAGGGTAAAAATAGGAGTATGGTGTTGACTATGAGGAAGTGTTTGCACCTGTTGTGAGGCATGATACAATCAGAATGATTTTGGGATTGCCATCTCAAAACCAATGGCCGATATATCAGCTTGATGTAAAATCAACATTTTTACATGGAGAGCTACAAGAAGAAGTATTTGTTGATCAACCTCCTGGCTATATCAAAACTGGTGAAGAACACTAGGAGTATAGACTGAAGAAGGCATTATATGGATTAAAGCGGGCACCTAGAGCTTGGTACAGCCACATAGATGCCTATTTTGCAAGAAAAGGCTTTCACAAATTCCCATATGAGTATACTTTCTACATCAGGTTTGATAAAGGTAATATTCTCATTGTTTGTCTATATGTGGATGACTTAATTTTTACTAGAAACAATGAGATTATGTTTGACAAGTTTAAAGAATCTATGATGAAGGAGTTTGACATGACTGATTTAGGAAGATTGCATTACTTCCTTGGGCTTGAGGTAGTTCAATCAGATAGTGAAATTTTTGTTTCTTAGAAAAAGTATGTGCAGGAAATGTTAGTTAAGTTTCAGATGGAGAAATGTAATCCAATTCTGATACCAGCTGATCCTAGCATAAAGTTAGACAAGGATCCAAAAGGAAAAGATGTTGATGGAACTTACTACAAATAAATAGTACGAAGTTTGATGTATCTCACAACAACTAGGCTTGATATAATGTATGCAGTTAGCCTTATCAACAGGTACATGGACAAACCTAAACAATCTCATCTCTTAGTAGCTAAACGAATTCTGAGGTATTTGTAGGGCACGACCAGCCATCATTTGTTGTACAAGAAAGGAGAAAATTCAATGTTGATAAGGTTTACAGACAGTGATTATGCAGGAGATCGAGATGATGGGAAGAGCACCACTAGATTTGTGTTCAAGTTGGGATCAAATGCTATATCATGGTCATCCAAGAAGCAGCCTATAGTAACTCTGTCCATTACAGAAAGCAGAGTTTGTTGCAGCAACAGCTTGTGCATGTCAAGCTATCTGGCTTAGGAAGTTGCTGGAAAAAATTTGTGCAAGCAAACAGAAGCTACTCCAGAATATTATGACAATAGCTCAACTATCAATTGTCAAAAAATCCAGTGTTCCATGGGAGAAGCAAACATATAGATGTAAGGTATCATTTCTTAAGAGACCTTACACATGACGGTATAATTGATGTGGTTTACTGCAAAGGTGGAGACCAAGCAGCAGATATTTTCACCAAAGCCTTAAAGAAGGAGAGTTTTCTCAAGTTCAGAGACATGCTTGGTATCTATTCATTAGAAGAATTTGAAGCCCTGTAAACTGTGTTTAAGGGAGGCATTGTTGGTCAGTCTTTTTACTCTGTCATTTAGGAACTCCTAGTCAACAGGAGGAAGATATTTTTTTACCATTATTTTAGGAAGAAGTTACAGACTGCTAGCTGATTTTGTGCCCATTTTATTGTTTTCTTGTTACATGTACAGCCTATATATAAGCTAGCTTTTGGTAACTAAGGCATGTTTAGAACTCATCCTTATCCTTTCTTTGTCTTGTCTAATCTGCTCCCTATTTTTTTTACATTCCTTACTTATTTGTTTTCTTTTATGCCTCTGTATCTTTGCTGGTGCGAAATGACTGTATATTAACCAGATTTTATGTTTAAAGGAGCCTTTTGAAGTTAAAAGGACACATGATCTTCATATATTTTGTTTCAATAAAAATAGCTCAATCGGTTACCGTTCCAGATAAAACTTCTAAAGCAATAAAATTTAATAATAAATGAGTAGCACAAGTCAAACTCCAAATGGTGTTTGAGTTACTTTTCTATTACATTACAATTGCCGGAATCCATCTTTGTTATATCTGTTGTTCTATTTTGGTCATAGCATAATTTTCTAGTCCAAGATTAGGTTCCTGGATGAGGAGCTTGGACTGCTATTAATAAACAAAAATGCTTACCAAAAATAATTGCCCTCCCCAAGTACCCCAATCCAGAGAAACATTATAGAAGCTGTACAGAAGAGGGGTCTCCAGTTGGCAACATTAATCGTAGAAGCTTAAATTAATTACCAAATCTATAATTTTAATATAATTTGGATACTAAATGTGTAAGTAATCCTTAAAAATATATTTTTTTTGTGAAAAATAATCCTTAAAAATATTTACTTTAGCCGTAATGCAAGTTCAAGTTGACCCAACTCCAAAGTAGACAAGGAAAAGGAAATACTAATGCAAATAGGAAATCCACCTTTCAAAAAAATAATAATAATAAAAAATAGGAAACCGACATCCTCCTCTACGAAGAAGATTAATAGAATAAAAGAAGGGACCAGCAATGCTTTCTTTCACTTTCTCAACCTAAATTTCTACTTTACCTTTCATCCCAAGGAACCAATGGCGCACTGCAATTCAAGCCATAACTACAGGATTTATGTTTCTGCACAGCCAAACAATGTTTACAAGGATGATCAATCTTTAGAATCTCCTCTGATCACGTTCAAGTGCAATATCAAGATGAGTTACTTATCAGACAAACCAGACAAATCCATTCAAAGCTATATTCAAGGCCACGATTCATGGCATGATTTTGAGCATCATCCAGCCAACGAGCTGACAAAGGATTTTATATCGAATATGCTTGCCAACACCAGAATAATCCCATTCTCGTTGAGAAATTTGCATTGGAAAAACCGGGTTTATGACCAAGAATCAGTCCCCTTAATGTCAACAGATGGTGTTATAACCTCCATGTTGGATGTTTGTGATAGCATGGTCAGTGAATCAGGACGTAAGAAATTTTTCCTGCTTGTCTTTATTAAGAAGGAAGTGATTGTGCCCCATGATGAATATCTGGCAATGCTCAAGGCGAAGCAAGCAGAAGAAATTCTTCACCAGCTTGAAGATATGGCTCGGTTGCAGGCTCAAGGTTGGAGATTCCAACAAGCAGATTGGGAAAACATGGCTAACGTTATAAGACAAGCGGGGCTTGGTAATTCGATAAGGAACGCTTTGGATTTAGTGAGGGAACGTGCTACAAGGGAGTCGAGTGAACAACAAGTGGTTAGGTTGGTGCCTGCATCTTCAACCTCGGTTCAAGCCTTGGAAAAAGTGACCTGTCATTCAAAAGAGAAGTGTTCAGTGTGTTTGGAAGAGATGTTAACTGGTTCTCAAGTTACTCAAATGCCTTGCTCCCATTTGTTCCATGGAGATTGCATTCTTCGATGGCTGAAGACAAGTCATGTATGTCCTGTGTGTCGGTTCAAGTTGCCAACAACATAGTTTTTTATGTACTTTTTATCCATCAATTTGTTCTATATAATCGCATTGGGTTTTAGCTAGTTTATTTTTCTTTCTTCTGAATGTTTAAAATTTGTTTCAATATTTCATCCGGATGTATTTCAAATTTTGACATATATAATACAAAATTTTAAGCTTTTATCTATAAGTTTATCTTTTTTTTGAACTGGATTTTTCTTTTTTATATTTTTTTTCGGATAAACCAGTAAAATACCAGATTTTTTTTTTATCTGATGTCCCCTGATGAACTGTTTCTTCGCCTCCACCAAACGACACCGTTCTTTCACTCTGTTTTCCTCACAGCCCCAAGCCTCATCCTTTTCAATCCAGCAACACAGACCTAAGCCTTCCACCGCTCAAAGCGCCATGCCACTCTTTAGCCTACGTCGTATTCTACTGCCATATTCCTGTCTCAGATCAAAAAGCAATCTTTCGAGCTTTTCGATTCTACACCCCGAATGCTCCCAAATGCCGAAATCTGAGAACTTTCTAGTCTAAAGAACAAAGCATGAAACCAGTCTATGGTTTCTTTAAAGAGTTTTCATCCTAGGTTTCTTCTTTGATTTTTTTTTATTTTTTCTGTGGTGCTAGGTTTCTGGGCTTTCTCTATCGCGGCTTTTGCTAGGTTTTTTTTTTTTTTTCCGAAACCAACCACCCTCCCTTCCAAAGAAATTTTTCGGCTCCCCATCAACAGAGAGAGCAGAAAGCTGTCCTCAAGGGTGCTGGGAGGTGGCACCGCACTCGTTTCTGCATATCTTTTGCCAACGAATTGAAAAATCCCTCGAACAACCCAAACCCCGTGTTTTCCACAACTCAAACCAAAATCCACTTTAAAAAGCTAATCTTTTCCCTTTTTATTCACCAAAAACCTCCTTTTGGATACCCCAAAATCATAACTATGTGAATGTGTACATGAAATGGAAGAAGATCCATTCTTTGACTCAATAGTGCACATCCATAAATCCATAGAGCTTAAACAATTATTCAACTCAAAAACTTCATTGCTAAAGACCCCAATGGTTGCATCCCATCTCTGCTGTATCAAAAGAGGCTTAGAATTTGATATTTCCATTAAGGTTGCTAGGTTCCTAAGGCAATACCCTTCAGTTTTTGAGGAGTTTAGAGGTCCTGAATACAATTTGCCTTGGTTTAGGTTGACCCCAGAAGCTGCCGAGATTGATGGAGAGGAGAAAAGGGTAATTGATGAATGCAAGGAGGATTTGAAGGATAGGTTGAAAAGGTTTATTTTAATAAGTAAAGATAAGGTTTTGCCTTTGAAGATTATTAAAGGAATGGAATGGTATTTGGGGTTGCCTGAAGGTTTTATTGGAGGATTCAAAAGGGAATCTTGATGAGTCTTTTAGGTTTATGGACATGGAAGATGGGTTAAAAGGATTGGCTGTTGAGAGTGAGGGGGAAAAAGTATTGTCTACAATGCAAAGAAATGCGATGAAAAATGGTGCGTATTTTGGTGGGGCAATGGAAGGAATTGAGTTTCCGATTTTTCCATCGAAAGGTTTACGGTTAAGGAGGAAGATCGAAGGTTGGTTAAATGAGTTTCAAAAACTTCCTTATGTTTCACCTTATGAGGATTTTTCACATTTAGATCCTAATAGTGATGTAGCTGAGAAAAGGGTTGTAGGGATTCTTCACGAGTTGTTGAGTTTGTTTGTTGAACACTCAGCACAAAGGAAGAAGCTTTTGTGTCTTAAGAAATATTTTGGGTTGCCACAGAAAGTTCATAAAGCATTTGAAAGGCATCCTCATATGTTTTATTTATCTTTTAAGAACAAGACTTGTACTGCAATTCTTAAGGAGGCGTATTGTGGTAAGTCTAGTATAGAGAGGCATCCATTGTTGGGAGTGAGGAGGAAATACATTCGATTGGTTAAAGAATCAGGTAGGATTTTGAAGAATAGAAAGACTAATAATCGGTTTATTGAGCAAGAAAAGTTGGAGAAGGATTTGGATTTGGATTCAGAGTCAGAAGACGGAACAGAGGTTCCTTTGTAAATTATGTTTCCATAATTTTTAAGTTAGACATGTGCAGGCTAACACAATAAGTTTGGGCAAGAGCTTCTCCTAGACAGTGATTAGAGCTTATGCTTATAGACTAGCCTTTCAGTGGCAGGGGATTTGTCTTAGCTAGACACTGGAACTAACAATAGTACTTAAAAAGTGGCAAGTCTTGGACCTGTTGGTGCATTTCAGCAGTTCTTTCATTGTGAAGGTACTTCCGAAAAGGTAGTTATTAGCATTGCCATGATATTATTAATGTCAAAATGTTTTCTTGCAGATGATGCTAACATGTACTTGTTCTATAAGTATTACTGGCAAATTTTAATATAGAAGAGGTTTCATCTCTTGTGATATTTAACCTATGTCTTCAATAGATGCTCTAGTTTAGTGCCTCAGTTTCTTTCCTGGTATAAATAACTGTAAACTGTTTATTGATTGTATTTGTGGTTCATGTCAAAATCTATCTAATTGGTGTCCATTTGGCCTGCCTTGCAGAGCAACAAGAACAAGAAAAAGCAGCTGAAGGACGATCATTCCATTGAAGATTAGAATTACATTGACTAGTTTAACCATTTTGATCATCAAATGACTTTGAATGGCAGTTTGTTGAATCATCCAACAAAACAGTCGCAGGAAACTAGTGTGTTCTTCAGTAGTGAATTGGCCAACAGTAAAAAGCTTAAAAATCATTTTGAGACTGAAAAATGATGCTCCTTCCTTCTGTATCTATTGTCCATGCCTGAGATGAAGCATTGCTTCCCTGGTATCATGATCTGCCAAGTATTTTTGGTTCACTGGGATTCTGAAATGCTAGCAGAAGTCAAAACTCCCAAGTTAACCAAATCCTGTCAGCTACATCTGGTATATATGTCAGGTTGAGATGTCAAACTGTTAGCGTCCAAATATAGATTTGCATATCTTGCTGAAGTCAACAAAAAAAAAAAAAAACCACTAATGCATGCGTCAGGGATTTTCATTTTCAACCTTACTTAATTCCCTTCATTGACAAGTTTGTGCAGTGGGGAGTACATGAAACTTAACCATGAATCCATTGACCTGACATATTATAATGTTTTGATTTCTAACTTGGATACCTGCAAAGTCAATTCTCTTCAACATGTAAATTAGAATAGAATGCCACTCTGGACAACTTAAGACATGAATTAGTAAATCAGTAAAAATATAGTTTCCCATCCCAATTCAAAATCCAGACAAAGATAATAAATTTTTTTTCATATATATATATATATATGATTGCTGATTATAACATAAAGGGTATGCTTAGTTCAGGACAGATAATAAAAATTTTTTCATATATATATATATATATATGATTGCGAATTATAACATAAAAGGGTATGTTTAGTTGGGGAGAATAACATTTATTCTGATATTTGGTTTGCAGAATGGTTATCTTTTGAAATTTTAAAATAAAAAATTTCAAATTAAAATTAGGGGTATTTCCATGAAAAATGGTATGCTATTTTTTTTTTTTGGAAAATAAAATTTGTTATGTTTGAGTTGTAAAGCCAATAAAGAACAATGTAAGACGCCAGGATTGTTGAGATGCTGTTTGGTTGCATATTTGACAATTGTCAAAATATTAGGCACATCTTAATGTTTTTAATTTACCTAATATGTAACGTTATGTTAGGTATATTTAGTTTTCAAAGGGCGTCTTTTTGGACTCTTCCAATGGACACAACATAACATAGGAGAACTAGACAAGGATGAGGCTTCGGACCATATTAGTATAGGCCGGCATCACTCTACCTTCCACGTATCCTCTTTTTCCTATACTTGAAAAAACTGATTTTTCTCTATTATTATTTATATAATATTGGAAAAAAATTTTAAGTAAATATTTGTATTTTATTTTGAATTAAATAAATTTATTAATTATTGTTAATAAAAATATTATATTATAATAACAAATAATTTAACATGTGTTTTTTTACCTTCTAAATGAACGTCTCTTTAATATAAAATTACAATTAACAATTTGATTAACAATATTGTTAATTATAAAAAAAATTTAAATTTAAAATAAAAATATTAACTGAACATAATGAAAAATAAAAAATTTATTTAAAATTTTTAAATAATTCAAATAACTTGATGAAGAGCAAAGGGCGGCGGGGCCCAATACTCAAATCAATTGGGGCCCACAAACCCAAAGAGTATAGAAGATAAGTATAAAAGGCTTTGTTTCTGACTTCGGCTTCTGATATTTTTCTCGCCTCTCTCTCTCTCTCTCTCTCTCTCTCCTTCGCAGTCTTCGTTGCTATCATTTATTTCAGGTAAGTTTCTATTTTTTTTCTTTACATAAAATTTTTATTTCCATTTTTATTTAAAGATTCTATTCTTATTCCTAATAGTAGTTCTCTTATCTATAAACAATAATTGGATTTTTCTGAATTTTGTTGTTCATGTATTTTTCAATTGTTTTTGTTTCCTCTTTTATCCGTTAGAATTTTTGTATGTATATTCGTAAAAGTACATGGAAACCTATAAGTGTTCAGCGAATTTTTGTTGGAATGAGAACAAATTTTTGTATAGGTACCTTGGAAACGTCGTATATAGCGATATTTACGAAAAATCGAGGATAGTTTATTCAGTAAATATGTGAAAGAATCGAATCGAGAGGATAACATTAAACTAGGATGGAATTGGTTGGTCTTAAGTTAGTTTTGAAACTTGCAGTATAAGATGTGAGAAAAAAAGAAAATCAATAATTAATGAGATTGTATGTAATCTTTTTGTATACATGTAAGCGGAATTTGAATCCAAAATCTCTCAGTTATTAAAAAAAAATAATTTTGTTAATTGGATTAATTATATCTCAATTATGTAATATCATTGAAATTTAGACAGAAATCTCGAGTTGAAAATCATTCAAATTGCTGAAAATGTAATATATAGTAAGGTGTAAGATTATCGTCAAATATGCTGGCATGATAAAAACCATTAAATTTTGTGATTGAAATTCATTATAAGCATTAATTTTCACTCATGCACCAGGTAACACCAGGAAACTCTTTTAATAGATAGAAGATTTGTAACTTAATTATAACTTCAAAGCAATTATATTGCACATGTTATAGGCTTTTGTAATAATTTTGGAATTTTTTCCATGGTTATTATCCGAATCCAAATTAAGTTTGTAGCATGTTTAGGTCTTTGAATACAAGACCAAGATGCATCCACCTAACTTTTCCCAATTATTATTTCTAATCACTTTGTAAATACATTTCCTTCGTATTTAAACATAGCATAACTAGTATTTAAAAAAATTACACATAGAAAAAGCAACTTGAAGTCAAGAATAATCCCAAACAAATTCAGCCATTCTCCTCTCTTTTTACCTTGTACTAGTCAAATCTCCAATAGACCCCACAGAGCAATAACTACATGCTTGGTAGTAATAATAGTAAAGATTTGATTGTTTCAAGGTAATAAGAGAGGGAGTGAAAAAAAGAAAAGTAAGAAAGAAGGAGAGATTTCAATGTTCAAATATGCCAAAATATCTCAGAAAAGAAAAAGAAAGTCCATTTTTTCTTCCCGTAAAATTTTCTTTCTTCTTTTTCATCATTTGCTTGGATTCCTAGGTGATTTCTGTGAATTTGCATATATGAATTGGAAAATAGTGTGTTGGGTTGGTTTTCTGTTTGATGAATTTGTTTTGGATTGGAAGATTGGTTTTGTTAAGAATTTGGAGTTTGGCATTAGTGTTTTTGTTGTTTTCTTGTTCCGGGTTGTATGTCTTACAAGCAATGATTGCTTTCTCTCTCTTCTTTTTTTTTGGTTTTTTTGTGTGCTTCTTGAATCTATGTTAAGAGATTTCTGTGTTAGTTTCTTTAGGCTTTGTATATGTATATTTTCCTGATTTGGGATGGTTGATATTATCATATGCTAATTATGATTAATTTACTTCTATGTTCTTGTCCTCAGAAATTCATTTGGGGGAGTATATCAATTAAGGCAGAACGTGCACGGTGTTCTCTTATAAATTTTACCAATGATTACATATGATATAGATCCTGATGTTCTTCGCTGGGGTCTCCAAGATCTACAAGTTTGTGTATTTAGCCATTCTGGTGCCAGTGGTAGTGTTGCTCAATATGAGAGAGACAATAGCCAAACTGGGTATATTGGAGAGGGTTATTATGAACCAGAACGTATAAATGTAGAGAATGATGCGGTAATTGCACATGCCCTTCAAGAGGAACTCTCTCGAGTTGCTGCTGCTGAGGCATCTGGATCTACTAATCCTGGCCAAGATTCTATTCTTGCCCAAGATTGGTTTGGCTTTCCTGGAAGACAACATAGTTCTGGTAGTGGGAATTTCGTATGTTGCCATTGTGGCTAAATGATTATGTTGGCTTTTTATTAATTTAATATTGTTACCTATCGTGTATAGATCATGAAGATGTTAGGAAAATTGTAGAAGATCCTAACCAAACTGAACGGTGCACAAATGAAGTTAATCATGGGAAGAGGGATTTAAGTGATCATAACATAAGTAGATGTGAGCCAGGTGGTGACTCTGGCATGGGAGACAAAGATTTTCTGGGTGAAGACATGTTGTGTATAGATAACATTGATGAGTCATCTGCTCTTGATGGTGAAGTCGAGAAGAGGTTGAATGACATGGTTGCTATTCCCGTAAGTACAAGTCCTGGAAAATTGCATTATTTATTAGGATTTGAAGGATTTTCTTGTTAAATTTTAATTGAAGTTCCTCTGCAGTGCAGTGGCAGCGTCATTTCGCACATTATTTTCTTTAACCTTTTAGTTGATTTTATTTGTTAATATAATTTTGATGAAGTCCTTGTGTTTTCAATCTCTTTTGTGAGGAATGAAATATGACGAATTGATCATGGTAACCCAATCAAGTGTTCTGCATCATTTGCAATCTTAAACAAGATGTTCTTCAAATAAAATAATGCCTGTTCTGACTTCATTCCTTTTGTTTTGTGGAAGTGTTGGGTTAAATTCTTGTTTATAATTTTTAATTGCTTCTGTTAGAGGAATTCTTGTCTATGAAAGCTATAAGATTTGCCTTATCCTTCTTTCGCTCCCTATGTATTGAAAAAAGAAGGCTGGATATATTTAAATTTAACGAAAATTATAATTTGTTAATTGGTTACAAATTTTTCTAATGAATGTTATGAACTTGGTTGAGTTGGTGTACACTCTTTTGGTAAACAATGTTTTATTTTAATGGAATGATTAGGGATCATCACATGTTAAAATTAATTCATTTGTTTATAATTTCTTAACATAAAATTCAAGCATTAAAGTTTAGTAGGTTGACACTGCTTGAAGTGTCTCAAGGTTCACCATTAAGTTGCATCTACTGATGCAAAAAGGCAAACTTCGATTTGTGCTTATGGATGTGATTTCTTCACCTTTTACCCTATAACATTGTGTTGTATCAGAATTGACTTTGCTAATTTTATGATATGTATCGTGCAGCATGTACCTAAAATTAATGGTGAAATACCATCGGTTGATGAAGAGATATCAGACCATCAAAGGCTGCTTAATAGGTTTGGCTCAAAATATTCTCTATTTTATCTGATTCTCTTATGTTTTTGTGGCAAATAAACTTCACCACCCCGAACTTTGGGGTTGGTTTCGTTTTATATCCTAAATTTTCATATTTCGAGAATTAACATCCCAAACTATGATCCAATTCCAGGGTTAGCAATTTGAAGAAAACCCTTTAAAATGATATAAGCGCATCTGCATATCAGGCAACTAGGGTACTATGACAAGTTGCACATTATTATGTGGTCTAACAAAAGACTAAATGACTCTCATTTAGAACCTCATATAGCTCTAAACACTCCTTGGTTCAAATCTAATCTCCCCTACCTAGCGTCTACTTTGCTTTTTCTCTTTTTGATATCATAGCGTTACCCCTAATTTTTTGTGAGAACTTAACTTTTAGACTCCATAATTGAAATTGCCGGTGGTTCTGACCATCAGTCATAAAATTCTTAAAAGAAGCTTCTTGTTGAATTTTGATAGCAACCTTAAAAATTAGGTTACCTCAAATTTATGCAGTGCTAGAATTTAAAAGCTTGTGAAACTAACAGCTCTGGAACAAAATAAGAACCATTTGAGTTTAGTCATCCACTCTGTATATTCAAATGATATTCCTTTTG